CCCCCCCCCCCCCCCCCACCCCCACACACACACACGCACACCTCCGCGCCTCCCGCTCGCAATGACTAACAATCGCCTAGACTCCGAGAAAGCTGTCCGCAAGGAAATGCTCGGCGTACCGCCCGAAGTCCCATACACCGTCCTAGAGCTTGTCGGCAAGGGAAGTTTCGGCAGTGTATTCAAGGGTATGCACAACGAGACGAAGCAGATTGTTGCTGTCAAGTCCCTCGACCTCGACCAGCATGACGATGAGGTAAAGGATATCCAGAAGGAGATCGGATTGCTGAGTCAGTTGAAGGCTGGGGATGCGCCGAACATTACGGCGTTTCACGGGAGCTATTTGCTTGGGTCGAGGTTGTGGGTCATCATGGACTTTTGCAGCGGGGGGAGTGTGCGCACCTTGGTCTGTTTTTCCCTTCCCTGCCGCCCCGCCCGGGAGGAGGTGCGCTGATGTAGAGTGGGGATTAGATGAAAGCGGGTCCTATCGATGAGAAGTTTATCAATATCATCATCCGGGAAACGTTGACGGCGTTGGGGTATTTGCACAAGCAGGGGATCATTCATAGGGATATTAAGGGTTTGTCTTGCTCTCGCCCTTTCGGCACTGTTCATTATTCCTTTTGCGGCCTGTGCTGCCATTGAGTTAGTCCAAAGGTGGTTTGCTGAGTATGCGGGTTAGCGGCCAATATTCTTGTTGGCCAGGATGGGCGTGTGCAGTTATGTGACTTTGGCGTGTCCGCCCAGATTGCTGGGAAGAATGGGAAGAGAAATACGTTTGTTGGAACACCGCAGTGGATGGCTCCCGAGGCATTGTCGGGTGGTTTATATGATTCAAGGGTTTGTTCTCTCGGTTGGTTGATCGATTGCCTCCGCTCTTGTTTCGGTGGTGGTGATATTTTTATCTCATTCTGTTTTGGTGTTATAGATTGATGTTTGGTCCTTCGGTATTACAATTATCGAGATGGCGAAGCAGAATCCTCCGTTATTCAATATCCCACCGAATAGGGTCGTCGACATGATCCCGAGGCTACCACCGCCGAGGCTCGAGGGTGGGAATTGGTCGAATCAGCTTAGGGAGTTTGTGGCTCTGTGTTTGAACGAGGTTCCGGAGGAAAGGGCTACCGTGGATGAACTTTTGCGCTCCAAACTAGTGAAGGCCGCTAGGCTACCTACAGCCGCCATGAGGGAGCTTATTGTTCGGTACAATTCTTGGGCGAGTAGGGGTGGAATTCGGGACTCCATGTGGCAGGCTACGTTACAGGGCGACATGGATCACTTGAATGCTACTTTGGCTAGCGAGCCTGGATGGGACTTTGATACCGTAAGGTCCAGACTTTCGGGAGTGCCAGGATTCATGCAAGAGGAAATTGGCTCGGCTTCTAATGTGTCTACCCTAAGACCACAGTATAGGGGCCCGTTTATCATTGAAGCTGCTCGGCAGAGAGCGGGAGAAGGTCTCTTCCGGCTTTTCCAGAGCCCCGAAGAGGAGGCACAGCAGAGGCAGCAGCAGAATGGCCAGATGATAGGGTACGGGGCCCTGGGACCAACATCGGATTTACAGTTTAGGAGCGGTTCCAGTACCCGCTCCGGAACCCCGGAAAATAATCTGATATCGATACCCTCCTTTGACGGAAACGGGATTCGTCTCCACGATAACAGGTCTAATAGTCCTATTGGCCAAATTATCATGCCTTCCATGCTCTCGGACGAAGAAATTATTCGTCAAGCGCAGGCAAAAGCAGCCGCCGCCGCAGCTGCTACCCCCCCTCCACTTGCACCTCCAGTCGCACCAACCTCCGCACCAACACCTCCGCCGCCCACACCCACTCCTATGGCCTCTTCGGATCGTACACTAGTACCTCGTACAAGACCTCATAGGGCCGATTCTGCTGGAGCTTCGGTTCTGCGCCCGAGCGGACTATCGACTCCGTCGCCGACCCCCGATGGCCCGAACTGTGATGCCTCCCCGAGGAGGCCTTCCACGGCAGCATCCGCTCCATCATCCCCTCCCCGCCCTGGCAACTACCAGCAAAATTTGATGATGCAGAACGGGCTAAAATCTCATCATCTCCCGTCGAAATCGGCCCCTAACATTGCAGCCCTTCGTGAGGGAAGTAGCCCTGGGACTGGTGCACCCCCTCTTCCTGTCATCAACAGCCCGCCACATGGGAAGTTCCACAGTGCAGACTCGGCTCCTCCTCACAGCAAGTCCCGTTCTCAGGACATCACAGGCCGAGGCCTCCAGAAACCCCCGGCCAAAGCCAACTCCAACAAGCCGAACCATCTGAACCTCGACCTCCCTGGCAATCCTCATCACAATGGGAACGGCGTCTCGAACGGAATGCTCCCACCATCGCCTTCCCGCCCGCCCTACCCGTCGCACGCCCCGCAGCACTCTTTCTCGTCCATGCAGGGAATCGGCGTCTCAGGTACCCCCCGCAGCGAGCAAACGCAACCTACCCTCATCGACGCGACCGAGTTCCCAACCATGGGTCCCTTGAACCTGGCCGTAATGTCTTTGGACGCCGACGATCAGCGCATTACCGATGAACTCGATAGGATGCTTGCGGGTCTCGGCGACGCCATGGAGTTTATGGGCGTGAAACTCAAGGCGCTCAACGAGCGGAGGAAGCGTGAGAGAGAGAATATGGAGGAGGAAGATGAGGGTGGGGAGGATAATTGAGTTGCGTGCTGACTTCGATACCCTGGTGACTTTTTTCTACCTCTTTTCCATGTCTCTATATTCCTCTCTTATCCCAATGCTCTATATCAGGTTAGGTTAAGCTAGATACATAATTCTCTCAGTTTCCTATCATTTCTTTTTAAAGATGCTCTCCTCTCCCCTTCTCTCTCTGCTTGACGAAAACGATGAACCTCTCTGTGCGTGAACGGCGCCGGGGCGAATTGCGGTTTTTTTTCCCCCTCCTGCTTCGTTGATTAACTGATTAATTGAACGGATGGGCGAACGGGATACAGCGTATGGCAGCACAGGAGAAGGGTTATTATATTACATAATCACTTACGATCTTCCTAACGATGATCAGACCTGGGGTTTTTCTTCACTGGCGGTTGTGGACCTGCACCGGTTATGAGTTTTTCTCTCCCCTATTCTCTTTTTCCCCTTTTCGTTTGTTTCACTGTCCATCGAATTTCGGAGTTTTTGGGGTGTTGGTTCGCTCAGTTAAGTTTGACAATATTATGATAGACGGTATTTATTTATCTGCTTATTTATCTATTTAAAAAAGAGTTTTAATGGGTTTATTTGGGTGTCTCAACGTCCGAACATTTGAAAGGAGGAGACTTGGCGGGTTTCGGTTTTTGTTGTTGTGCTCGAGCACAGTAAGGGTGGTACTCGGGTATTGGTACATACTCGAGTACTTCGTACAGCACTCCACTATACTTATGCAATAAATGCCAAGCCCCGATTAGTCATTCCACTTGTCTAAATACAGGTATCATACTTCATCAATCTTGCCCCTTACGCACCGCCTCGTTCCCGTTTCCACTCCTCCTACACGTTCGCCAGTTAGGCACAGCTACCATAACTGACGCCGCCCTTCTCCGCCCTTCTTTGCTTTCAATCCGTCAATTCTCCTCACCTCGGCCCCTCGCTCACTAACCCCTCGCTCCCGTTCTTCCTTCACGTCGACCTAGTGTCACCGACAACTGGTTCCTGGTGACCTCACCCCCCCTCCCACATTAACCTCGCTCTTCACTCATCAGTCCATCACCCTTTCTGCTCCTCCTCAACCCGTCCCTCACGTACCGGCCCATCCCCAATTCCATTCCTCCTACTCCAGGTGACAGTCATAGGTACCACAAGTCACAGATAGATGCGTCCCCACCCACGATCCCCAAGGTTTCTACCTCATACACGATCGGCGACCAGGCCAGCACAAAATTCACTCAACATCTTACGGCCATTGCCGAGCATCTCAAGGCTATCCAGGCGGATTACAAGTATACCACCAGCACTATCATTAGCCTGATTGCAGATGTCGACGCATTTGGAGCCACGGTCAACCCAAACGCACAGAGGCAGAGCGAACGTGATCTGGAGCTATGAACCCGTGTCGATCACCTCGCTGAGGATGTCGACGCAATGAAAACCACGGTCGTCACAATTGCGGGGAAGCAGGGGGAACAAGCCCGTCTGTTACAGGAGCTTGTCTAGGCAGTCCGCCAAGCTCCCCGGCTCTACGGGACACTACTAAGAGTGGATAGTGGGGAGTGCGCCCAGGAAGAGACAATGATGTCCCGATTCTCGATTCTTGACCTCTCCTTTTTTTCGTTTTATTTACACATCCTATATGCCTGGCAGGGCGGTGGAGGGGAACGCAGGATACGTTAGGGGAAATGGATCAGGGATTGGGATGCGGGTTATTCATGTAGTAAATAGGGCTGCGAAAGACGTCGGACTGCATGGCATTCGGGTGGGTATGGATAGTTGGGGGCGTACCCGGGCAGAGACAATGATGTCTCGGACTTCTTTTCTTCACCATTCGTTTCATCGTTAGAACATTCTCATATTTTCTGTTCACTACCTTCCAAACTCTTAGCATTCGTATCTTTCCTAGCCTTCTTCACATGATGCCATCTCGGCTTCGTTTTCGCTGTTATCTTGCCTTTTGCTCAACCGGACCCTAACCCTTAAATGTTCACCATATGCCCGCAGCCAAACCCTGGAATGCAACCTGCCGTGGCGATCGCTGGCTCTGCGGGCCTACTAGCTCCCCAACGAGACACTGTAGCAAGCAATGTAACTCCTCTGTTCTAGCAATTTAGTAGTATGCAAGGGGGATGAGATACTTGTTTCATCATCAGGGAGTTCTCATTTCTTATTAACCACCTTCCGAACTCTTCTTATTCATTCCCTTGTCTCCTTTCTTTCCGAGTCTTCCCCCGATACCACTGCAGCCTCTTTTACGCCAGCGACATGTTCCAGCGGCGGCCGGCTCTGTGGACCTGTTGGCTCCTCATTTCAGATACCAGACCTATTAGCTCTTGGTTCCACTTGATGGCAGACGACCAATTTGCTCGTCTGGTTCTGCCTGAGTGGGGTTCTGGTTGCTGCACATGTTATCTGGAGGTGATAGACTCCGGAACAATTTCTCTTTCATGGTGACCACAACTCCATATTTGGCGGTTCACACCTGATATTTGTAAGTGGCAGGGAGGTGGGGAGGTTGCAGGATACATAAGGCGAGATGAATCAGGAATTGGGATGCTGGTTGTCCACCCGGTATATAGAGCCGTGAACGACGCCAGGGAACATGGCATTGGGGCGGGTACCTTGGTCAAATAAAATCAGATCTTTTTGTCTCTAACCTGCAGCCCATCTTGCGTGAGATTCGACATATTCTCCCACGCCCGTATCCTTCTCCAGTATGTCTAGCGGGGGCACCAGAGTGAGCGATTAGTCGCGCAGACTGCAAGCGGTAATGCCAACAAAACTGGTCTAGCACTATTTGGCATCATTTAGCTGACATTATGCGACCTGATGCTCGCCTTTGTTTAATCATCCTTGATAGGTATCGGTGCATGAGGCGTAAGGGATGGAAGTTGTATACAAGGTCCAAACAATATGCAGAGCAGTACTAAATAGAAGGAACCTGAGGGATTCATTGCCTGAACCCTTGATTCCAATAGATGCAGTCTATACCTTCTATATCCTGCTATTTCAAATAGCGTAGAAAGTGCCGGAACATATCCGACATCTACCGGCCTCCGGGTGATCGGCCGTGACTGGTCAAGATGGTAGTCATGTGAGGTATGTACCATCACAAGTACGGTTTGTATACTAGACGTATCGCTATTATCAGCCCTCATATTTAGAGTACACCAGGGCCAGCCGAAAGAACCTCGGTCTCAACCAGATCAGCGACATCGGTCCCGTCACATTCCAACAACCTCCCCGCAACCTCCGCCACCTTTACAACTGCTACCTATCGCTTACTGCCCCCTCTAGCATCCCCCCCCCCCACCTTGCCCTTTGGGAGACCCCTGGTAGACCCTATCATAGGCTGAGAGAACCAGGTGACCCTCCAAGAGCTTAGCCAACCTGTCTCCACCCGCGTCGCACCCCTGTCCTCCTGCACTAGGGCGGTTGTGTGACGGTCTCCGGTGAATATCAGAATGGGCGTGTACCCTACATGACCCTGGACGACAGTGGGAACCGGGATCACAGTTCTTTCTTCGCCCGAGCGCTGGGCTTCCTATATCCCGCATTGGTCATATTGAGGCCCTACGCCCAAACCCTGCCGTCTTGGTTAATTGCGAAGGGTTGGTATAAGGAGGTAGCGATGTACTCGACCTGGCGTTGGGGGAGGGACACCTGGTGAGGATCAGCTCAGTAAGGTGGTATCTCCCCCCGAGCATGCCTCCAGAGCTAGAATTGCTGACCATTGCCCCACCCGTTCAACTCTCTTTCCTTTGTAAGGCCGGGGGCGCGGTCAGTACTAATACTAACCTGAGCAATGTTCCCGAGCAGAGGTGGTAGGACTGGGGCACGCTGGACACTGGGCCTCTCATTGAATCCAAAAGTGGAGTCGGCGCACTAGGGGTGTGTTTGGATGCGACCGTTCCGTTCCGTTTGCGTATACAAACTGCCTAACGGTTCCGTTAGCCAACAGGTCATTGTATATGGGCGAGCGGGACGGAACGTTCGCAGCCAAGCAGACCCTAAACAATAAATCAACCGTACTGTAACTCGTAGGGGGAAATCACATACCCTAAACGCTCCCCCATCCATAAACCTTGCCGACATCTGACACCAATCGAAATACGGTTACCGGTAGTAATCCTTGTAATCACAGTCCCCTCTGGGGAGGGTGTAATGAGCATTGGTATGCTCTCCAATAGATTCAAAGGCGCCTCAGTGTCGCTCTCACTATCGCAACTAGAACCCATACCCCCCACATTGTATACCCGTTTCGCTCCCAAGAGCGTATCGACACCCCACAAGGGGACCTTCCCCTCATGTGACGAAGCCAGACTGTACATACTGCCAATCGTGACAACAACAATTCCGGTCTTCCCAGGAAGAAGATGGGCATTAAATCTAGGGCGCTTAGCAACGTTCATGTTAACCTCAGGCCCAAGACCCAACACGCCACCATCACAAGTCCCAAGGGTGTAAATATTCCATCGCTAGGCAGGGGGGGGCAGCTAACCATGGCTAAGGTGGGTTTGATGGGCTCCCGTTTTCCGGAGTGTCGTCAATATATCTCGGACGGCACGAGGCGTTCGGTGGAAGATATTGGCAATCCGGGCAACGCCTGTCCCCCGCGTATGATCCACCCGCAGTTGCCCATCTTGGGCGTCTGTCCATCTACCGCTTAGGACTGGGGGTGTGGCTGTCACCGGGATCGGATCCACTATCCCTGGCCTGCCACTTATAAGTCCTGGTCTCCGGACCGGGATGGAGCCTGGAAGCAGAAACCTGACCTGCCGAGCGCCAGTGCACAATGGTGTTGGAGTCAACACGATTATCATATCTATCTAGGACCTTTATAGCAGAAAGGAAATACACAACCCCGTCTATCTCAATTCCTTTTTATTATGTGCGGTAAGGTACCCACAGACCCGGATATCGTAATGCCGGGTAAAAAGGAGAAATAAAACACCAGCGAACCCCTATTTTCAATGCTTAAACATCTAAAAGCAGGAACCAGAGAGAAGGAAGAAAGAGTACTCCACAACAAATACATAACTTATTCTACTTCCAGCGCATACATCGTTTCCTTCCAAGGATACCTTAAGCCTAAGCACAGGTTCCCCCTTCCTCTCCTTGCATTTCTTCCATATCCGCCTTTTGTTTTTCAACCCCCACAAGCTTCCCTGGAACCACAATCCTTCCTAAGCCATGACGATTCTTAACTAGGCCTGTCTTTCAGGTGTCGAACCCTGGGTATCCTGTTCCAACCACCCCCAATCTTGCGTGCTGGCCTTATCGAAATAGCGGAGGATATGGTCGAAGTCGCTTTGTAGGTTCTTCAAGCCTACAAGAAGCGCCACGTATGATAGACTGTCTAGGAAACTTAGCCAGCTGTATACGTGGGCAGAAGTTCGATCTAGAACAAACCGTCAAGCGCTGTGTCGAAATCGACCCATCAGAACTCCCCCCGAAAGACCAAGATGACCACAACCTCCTACAAAAAATGCCACTCCTGGTAGCAGGGAAAATGGAAAGCCTACACCTGAACCCTAGATTAAAAGATATCATGAGCGCAGTTTAGGAAGTCATCCACCCATTTCCCATTTATTTTTTGTTCTACTCCACTCTGCAGTAATTGGTTAATTTACTTATACTGGACAAGCAAGTACAAGCAAGTACCTGCAGCCCGCTGCACCGGAGACCGAGGATTGGTAGCATGAGCAATTGGTTACCGGCGAGGGAACCTCAAGTGGAAATACGACGAGCTGGCTAAGTTGTATTGCAATCAAGTTGGAACACGGAAACACGACACGGAGTCGGGCACCCCAGTAATGGGGGAGATGTACTTTCCGCTCAAGGCGCATATCAATAGGTGTATTTATAAATACCTATTGCGCCGCCCACTCCCTGTTTCACGATAGATCATATGGGCATTGACCAGGCCTGATTGAGATTTTATAATTTACCCAGGGTCACCTGAATCTTCCCTGCATTTGAACAACGAAACCTATATCCCAGGAGTGAAATATCGGATGATGATGTTGATAGCGTACTCGCAAACATTCGGAACAGCGTCGAGATGTTGATAAAGCCATGGGTATTGGTAAAGCACCCGTGGGTGAGATAAATGTGACAGAGGCGGAGCTCTAAAGAGAAAAGGGAGGGAGGACCGGGACCGAGAAGGAGGGGAAACATGATGGGACATGTTTCCATCAAAATGTTAGTTGCAGATGGCTGGGTAACTCCCTCCCCCCCCCCCCGGGGGCCAGCCGTATACAGGCAGGGGTGACGGACCTCTACGAAAAGCATAATCTGGGCAGACAAGATCGTACATACAGGTGGATCCCAGACGAAATCAAGCGACCTGCGGAGGACGGGCTCTTCAACTGGGTTTTAGTGACATCCACAATTTGCCTCAAGGAAATATAGGAGCTGGGGAATGGCGCTAGTGTGAAAATCATTAGCACGGAGAAAACGCCGGGGGAGAAGGGGAGGTGTGGTTATCTCGCTACTGGGTCTAACATCTGCCCATGGTGAATTCCAGCTCCCTTAGAAAACAACAGCAATCAACCACCCGACGAAGGGGGGAAATCATGTGCTGCAGGTGGCAGATATGATATCCCCTTAAGCAATCAAGCCTCCACTACCCCTGGAACACCACAGGAAGTCTCAACAGAGCCTAAAGATGCGCTTCCGTCAAGTGGGAGCCATTCCGCCCAACAAGAGCTAGGGGTATCATGTGCGGCAGGTCGCAAAGGTAATATCCCCTTAAGCAACCAAGCCTCCATTACTCCCGAGACACCACAGGAAGTCTCAACAGAGCCTAAAGATATACTTCCGTCCAGCGGGAGCAGCTCCACCCAACAAAGACTAGGGGGTTTCAGACCAGGGGAGTAACAATGATACGCAAGGTTTCACAAATAATGGGTAGTCATGTTTGGGGACTGGAGAAGGGGCTTTAGGGTGTAGGGGGGCGAGGGTTCGCTAGGGCGGGGGATTATAATTTCTACTTGTATTTTCATTCCCAAGAACTTACATTTTTATAGTGGGCTATACCACAGGTTTGAGTTTCGGTCCTGGTTGTGTTCGCACGTTCTGCAGGGCTAGCCGACACCGAAGCACTTCCCATACCCGGTGAGGATTGTGTATCATGTAGGAACACTGCCTCTGAAAACTGAAGTTGACCTTAAAGAGAGTCGTATTCAATCCTGTGTTCGGTGATCGAATAATAACAACAAAACAAAGACTAGATATACAAACGTCCAAGTTCAGCGCAGCCATCATTCCATACCGGCCTTCATTCACAAGCCACTTATTCCTGACCAGAGAATGCAAGCCCACGGCTTCAAGTTCATTCCTGACCCAGGAATGAAATCTGCCAGTCACTTAGTATGCGTAGTACATTCCAGACAACAGTCTCCTTTTTTTTAGGCGCCGAGTGATATGCTGTGATCGCCTACCATTCCCACCTACCCGCCTGGCTGACGGCCATGCTTAATACGAATCCACCCCCGGAGCCCACAATACATCGGGCCAGAGGCAATGCGCCCATAGAGGATGCACCCTAGCGGTGACTCATTCGCCATAATCCCAAGAGCACAAAGTACAGGCCTTCGTGTCTCCACCCTAATTTACTTACCCGGGTTCTCAACGCGCACTAAAAAAAACCCAGAGAAATATCCCGGAACAACGGAAGATCAGGTCCCACTTTAAAACTCGTAGCCTGACCCACCGGACAATGAGATTCCGGCATCACTTCAAAGTGACATCGGCCCTTGGGTATTCCCCCTCAATCAATCCCCCTTCATCAGACAATGTTCACCTTGAACTACCTTAGGGCGGAATATAGACTGCTGGGTAATCTAACCTGAGTACTAACCAAGAGTGGATGACAGATGGCCGGATGAATACTAAATCGCCCCGCCACTTCGGTGATCCGGGCATTACCCGAGAGCGGATGAATTCCAGTTGGGTGAGTATACTAGATCACTCTAGAGGATGAAAGACTGTTGGGCACTGTACTGTACATGTGTTGCGTCGAGTTATCCTGACACGGTACTATGAATAGATTTTACTACCCGTTTAGTCTCTAGCGCGGAGCACACCAGGGAGGCTTTTCCTAAAAACTGGTATTATAAGAACTGTACTTATCCCGCGGCGAATTATGAATGGTGCAGTGAGATACGAACCATGAGGGCTCTACCAACTGCGGTATCGTGCGAAACTTGCCATCTTTAAAGCGAAGATTGTTTTATTATCATCCACCTGGAATGGAGTTATACCGGTCTCATCGCCGGATCAGCACCAGAGGTACCTATTTGGAGTTGGGATAAAGGTAGTTTGAGATATTTATATGACATTGGTGTAAATAGAAGTTGGCATATTATCAATTAGGTGAAATTGTCACAAATAAAGGGTGAATTTTGTAGAAGATGCTGGGTTTAGGGTATAGTACTGGCTGAATACAGGGTTGAGCACTACGTGTTACATCGAGCAAGGTGTACGCTTTGAGTGAATGGCACCATAGATCCGACAGACATCCACCGTCCCACGAGTGATCGTCCATGATCGGTCGAGAAGATGATCGCGTAGAGGATGCGGTTCAATTGAATATCTCGATTTGGCTTAGGCTTACCACTTGAGATTAGGAATCCCACAAATCACTGTCAAAAGCCTTTGCCTGTCCTTCGCCACTATAACACCCTCCTCCTTCCCATCGTCTCTCTCGCGAGTATTGTTCACTTACACCATCCCAGATACAGGTTTGTATACTATACGAATTGCTATCATTAGTTCTCTTGTGCAGAGTAGCTACTATCAGCATTCCACTCCGACTCAATGCCGCCTAGTTCTCCTAGGTACCTAATCAAACCCTGTACTGTTGAGCCTCACATCCTATCCTGCGCCCACTTCAGCGAGGAAAAGTTTGTCTGAATCCTGCTGCTGTTTTTGGTGATAGTCCCGACTGCTACTTTTTGGGCGGTAGTTATTACTCATTATTCCTATCATTCCACCTCCTTTTGCCTAGGCGTTTTCTTGACTTGTTTGTTAGACCCTGCCCATTCACTAAAGGGGACCACACTCTTTTCTATTCCGCCGATCCTATTACCCCTGTTGGAAAACCCGGTTTCCATGCGAGTTTTCGGATTACCTAATTCCGATTATGTATGTAAGCAGACTGTGAACAAGGCGAAGCAGATTTTGTGGGTGGGAGGATGGTTTTCCCAAGAGACATGTCTGTCCATTTGAGACATCTTTTTCCACCATCACGGTAACGTTTAGTAGAATCTGGGGTGATGAAAGAGATTACTGTACACTCAAATCCCGCTGTCCCGGATCTCCGTAGCACGGATTCCTCGCTGTCCCGTATGAAATGCTGTGAATTCAAAAATTTTCCATAGCAAAACTTGACTCGTTGTTCCGGATAACACATTGTACTGGACAGATTCTTTAGGTTTTGGCCATCCGGGATAGCGGGGTGTGAGAGTACTTACTATAGTAGTACTTGTATTTTCATCGTGTATTCGGAGCCAGAAATTAGTAGTAAGGACCTAGTCCTAATATATCATTCCAATATGGGTATGATAATAGCTAGTTTGGTCACGATTCGATATGAAGTTACTCGATCGCTCACTCAAGTAGCCTGACTGAAGTCATCCCTGCCTTTTTTCCTGGTGACCCACAAAAAAAAACAAGAACGATCTTGATCCGACAAGGGAGTACCGTAAAATCTCCTAAAAGTCCATTCTCCGCCCCCCCCCCCCATCATGGGACTATAGGTTTAGTCCGGCAGGTTAACGAATTGGGAATACCGGTTAGCAAGATCCAACACATACCTAGCCGTCCTATCTTTACTGTATCAGGAAAACGCTAATCCTTTCTCAGGGGGGGCGGGCAGACGGAGATAGTGGATTCCACGAGATTTTACGGTACTCGAGTATATTATTACCAGGTCATGATGTTGTGATCCTATTTTAGTACCAATTCTACTAGCTTCGAAAGACACTTTCTAGTTACCGGCAGCCGGATTCCGAATACACGATGAGAACATAGGCAGACTCTTAGTCGCTGATGGCAAGAAATGGACACTAGACTCATGACGGAAGGGATTCAACAAGGGGTGGCGGTGGGAACCCGTGCGTAGAGCTCTCCGGGCTTTGGCGAAAAACCGGGTTATGAAGGCAGAGAGGGAAGGAAAAGATGGGGATGGGGAATGTGAGAGTGAGAATGAGGAGAGTTAGAGGGTGAAAGGAAAACTAAGTTGCTCCGGTGGAACGCAGGACGGAAGGGAGGGGAATAGGGTTTATTTATTCTCCTGCCTCTGGGCATTCTGTTAACGAGCAGACCACATATAGAATCGTCCCCCATCTTTTATAATATCTCAATGCCAACCGGATTTCCCCACATCCTTCAACTTGAGGATGGACTCTTGGATCACCGTACCTGTGAGAGTAGTTAAAAATGCTAATGTTTCTCAACCGCAGCCTTTTGAACCGCTGATGAATGTTATAAAAGGGACAGGGGTGGCAAATTAATCTGAACGAATAGAGGTCGTTTAGTAACCAGACAGGGGCCAGAAACACATCAAAAGTGCCGGCTTTCGAGCTATCATTACACAACCATAATGGGCGGAAACAATATAGAAGAAAATTTAAAAAGTAAACTGCTACTATAGCACGCATATGAAAAAGTGTGGGATTTTTCTTCTTCTATCCTCCCAGGGTTGTGAGGTGTGGGGTGTTAATTCATATGGGGGTACCTGCCAAGACAAAGGATTTTGTATGGGAAAGGTACGATGGAACTGACCTTACCTAGTTCATGTACCCATGGCTCACTACAAACAATAGGAAAAAGGCCAAAATAAATATATATTATACTCTAGAGATGTCAAATTTTATTTTTATTTTTTAAAGCTGGGTTTCAAGATATCTATGGAGTTATCCTGGCTCAAAAACCCGCTGCTTGCGGGGTTTTAACCTATGTCCGGTTACTAAACGACCTCTATTGGAATCTATACATGGCTGATGATACATGAATAGCAATAATATATTTACCGAAACAAAGCTGGACGGTGCAACAAAACAAAGAACAGGCCAAATGGGGGCTCGGAACAAAGCGAGCCAAACATCTGAGGATATAATAAACTAGACTAGACCGCACAGGTTCGGCTTCACAGGCCGGGCTGGCCAGAGGCCCTAAATTTATTCTAGGTTAGCCCTCGGATCGTGTGAATGTCGCACCTAAACAGGATTATTGCTCCAAGCTTCCTACCAAAAGGGCGTTCCAGAAACCACAATGACACGGCACTCTAACTTCATACTATAAAGGACTAGCATACTTGCATGCACTCTTACTTCTAGGAGAGATAAGAGGGTTAGATATTTTGGAGATCGAGTATTGCAGACACTCTGGCAGGGCATGATTCTTGGTAATGTACGGTATACATCCACAGGTATGGCGGATAGGGGATTAGGAAATGAAGAAACCAAAGTACCGGGCAAAGCTCTTTTCCAACTTCCCCACCTCTTCAACGCTGTTGCCGATCCCTCTGACCGGATATAAAACAGAAGCACTACAAGTGATGCACTGTGACACCTTGCAACCCCATTGCCCTGCTTGGCTTGAACCAACCTACCGGTGTGGAAGTATCTTGGTTGTCTTCCGGGATTGGAAGGCGTTTTCGACCAAGCTGCCCTTGTAGAATTTCGGTTGCTAGGATTGCTGAATAACCGCCTTGTAAACTGTAGGATATGAGGACCGAAAATGCAGGGGACTGGAGTTGGGGAGATATGACAGATAATATAGAAGTAAAAGGTGATAAAGCGGGACGTAATATTGATAGATGGAAAGCAATTGCTATTGGTGTTGTGGCTGGTAGTTGTTGCTGGTCTCTAACCAAGAGGGGGGAGCTAGACTATAATTAATTATTATACAGAAAACCCAGCCTGCTAAGACATCCACAACAGGAAACTTTTATAGGGTGAAAAACCACATCAAATACGAGTATGACCACAAGCAATCAAACCGATAACTTCTCCACACCGGTATGGATTCACAGCAAGACCCGCTCCACCAGCTAATGATAGCGTAAACTGTTTCTTATTGGCTCATGATTGACTCGACCAATGAGAGAGTAGTTTTATGAAGATTTTGTGGTAGGGGCATTTTAGTTTGCCGGACCTTTGTCCCATGAAAAAAAAAAAAAGAAATAGCCATCAAGACTGTCTGTTTCAGTGCTTGCTGTTACCAATTTTTGGCCAGTTTGGCTCACATTCTCCTCATCTGCGTTCTCTATAGCATAGGGTGGCACCCTTTGGGTCATTGCTATGAAGATACTGCAGCAGATGCCAAGCCTTTTTTTCTGAGGCACTGAAAGGGACAGATCTGAGTCGGAAAACCAAACACACAAATCGGGTAAGCTTCACTCACTTACAAAATCAAACCGGTAATCGATACCTCATACAAGAAAGAAGTTCCGAAATCAGGTCCGTACAGATCAATTGATGTAAAGAAACTGAAAGAACAACCAAAGAAGAATTATCAAACCTAGGTACAGGCTTTCGTGTTCGTTGTTGACTTCATTTCCGTTCGTTATCTCCTTGAGTTCTTCTCCGCAGCTCTTCGTTGGGTTTACCTGTTGTCTGAAGAGGGAGGAAGGAAAAAATCCCTTTAGGTCCTCTCTGGTCCACAGCACACCACCGTGGCCAATTACAACCAAACCCTAACAGCTTAAACAAACCTAACTCAACAATACAAAACCCAGAGCTTAAGAGAGAGAAAAAGAAAACAAAGAAAACACATTTTTTGACCCTCACAGCACGTGTTTTCTTTGAGGCACCGCTCGAGTTTGCTACCTGGCCTCCTGTTTCTTTCAACCATCATCACCTCCACAAACCCACCAGAACACCTCAGATCCTCAGGATTCTAGAACTTATCATCACCTACAATGCAGTCAGTTAACTGCTCTTATGACGCAAGCGTGGCCACAGAGTGCTGCTTCTTTAGAGAGCATATACACGATCCTGAGCGCCCACGATCACCCCTTTGTCCTAGTTGGAAAGTATGCACTAAATTGGATGGGTGTTCCAGTGCATAGAGGACATGTATGCATTGCATCGTCCCCCTCAAGATTACCTACTTCTCACAACTAACCTTGACTTCACAGGTAATGGATATCCTGGTGAGAACCTCACAAGCGGGATCCATATGCAAGGCCCTAGCCCAAACCGGTGAATGGCTAGAGGTCGATGAATCAAACACCCCGTGGCCGGCTAAGCTATCTGAACTTCTGGAGTAGCGCTCGGTCGGTCGATTCAAGAGGTACGACGATCAGTGGTATATTAGCCTCTGCAGCGAGCGTACCTACCACCTCACGGTCGACACGGAGAAGGTTCAAATCCCACATCCCATCAACGGCGTTCCCGCTCTTGTGGAGTCGGAGTTTCATCCAAATCACATGGGTCGGGGGGCCAAGCCCTACCGCCTACCCCACCTGATTACCGATGGGAACATCAAGTTCGTGTGGGGCGAGCCGGTCACCTTTCCTGTCTTCATACCAAATATCCCAGAGTTTTTCGACTCATGCCTGGATTGTATGGGGGGGCGAACATACAGGGATGATGATGCATGTCTCATACCCCAAATGGACTTGGACTATTTGGCAAGATATCTAATCCTCGACTCCCCCCCCCCAGCAAGATAAACTCCTGCCGAAAGTCCAAAACACCAAGGGGTTGGCAGAATATTTTGCTGACAGGCGGAGGTGTCAAGAGAGAAGAATGAAGAGGGTTATGGAGAGACAGGAGAAACATGGTGCTGATTCAAGGCCCGAGCTGCAGTCTCCCTTTGTCATGCTACGGTTGTGAGACTGGGTTACTGGTACATAGTTACCTGTTGATAATACGAGGGGTTTTCAGTTCAGGGATAGAGATTGTCGGCAGGCTATGTTTCTAAAGCACCCGTCTTAAGTAATCCGGAGCTGGTATCGGTTCGTGCTGTTTGTGATTGACGGAGCATATCTTTCATATGGTTCTTTCCTTTGCTACTATGGCGTGGTATTGACCGAGGGCTGTACTAGGCTATGTTCAATGTACTACATATCACCCACTATTAAATAATTCATTTAGGTTACAAGAAAAGTAGGAAAGTTCTAGGGGCGGGAATTCCTTGTCTCTCATATCATTCAGACCATCTACAACAAACCTCTAATAATATCCGCCAACCTCTTCGGACGGGACGGGCGCCGGTTCCTGGAACTCCACCCTAGACGGGCGCCCGTCCTGTGGTCCGTCCTAACCTCTGCCCAGGACGGCCGGCCGGGCCCTATAGGTGTTTCACCTGCAAATAGACCCGCAGATGAGAGCCGGGCCCTACAGATGACGGTTGGCCCCTGCGAATCTCTGCGAATGACGGCTGGGCCCTACGGATGACGGCCGGGCCCTGCGAATGACGGCCGGGCTCTGCAGATGATGGCCGGGCCCTGGTGAGGACGGATGGAAGATGCCATTTGTATTAAGACCCCCGGGCCCGGGCGTCAACCCCTCGGACGGCAGTCTTTATCAAAGACGGACGCCATGCCCTGCGGTCCTTACCCACCACGCCCGGGACGGTTGGGAACACTGGGAGTGCCGCCCCCCCTACCACAACAAAGCTCTCCTTGTGTTCTTCGCCCACAATTTCCCAGATAGCCCTTACCACTTCCATTGCTCCCAATTAGGTTGGGATCAGGGCTGGTGATCGGGTGAATGCTGGCCGTATAGTTCGTGCATTTTCCGTAGACATAATTATGGACTTTTGGTTGTAGGTTCTGAGGTAAGCGATAGAATCAGAAAAAAGGGGTTTTCCTCATTGCTTTTCAAATACTGCTTGGTATCCATCAGGAGCTAGGATGGGTTCTAGTATATGGTGAGTACACAGATGTGCGTCATGGGCCTCGTATGTATTACAGTACAATACCTGTCATAATAGCGGTAGAAGGTGCGAAGCACATGTGGCCAATGACCGCTTGCATGTAAATCCATTGCTGTACTTGAGCCACAAAGAGTTTAACAGAGCAACGAGAAGAAACTGAGATTCATCTAATGCGTGAGCAAACCCTTATGAATTCAAGAATAAAGAGAGGAAGTGACCATAAGATGTAGGGAATTTTATAGATACTAGATAAGTTAGAGTTTTACTCTGGTCAGCTTTGAAGGAGAAGGGAGGAGGAGAGGAACCGTACACACATCTTCATCCCTCAATCTCCGAATCTCCAACTCTCGTTCTTTGCTTTTGCGTTTCGTCCCATTTCCTTTAAGATTCAAAAGTCAATGTCCGCCACTTGCCCCGGAGTTGATAAGACGTCAAGTGGTTCGGGCTCGATATGCGGGTTCGTTCGGGATCTGCGTTTTGATCTGGCTATATGAGATAGAATGAATGTGTGATATTTATATGCAAGTGAACGACTGACTAACAATAACAAAGAAGGAAAAAGAACCTGCTTTTATCCCAAAAGAAAAAAGCAACAGAAGCGTAACTAGAAAAACTTTTCCTCCTCTTGATACACACTACTGGTAGCCGGTAACAGGAGTGCCTCAGAGGTTCTTAGTGAAACAACATAAAACGAAGAACCAAAACACAAGTGCGAAAGGATCGTATATGCTAGTTTGCATATCAATAACCTCCCCTGCGTGTTTCAACACTGCGAACCTGCATGTTGTGAGCATATCATACCAAACCAAGCCCTATAAATGGGCACCAGCTATTTGCTCTTGCTTCATTAAAAGGTCAGAGGTGATTGTGATCTCCCACTGTGTTTGCTCCTGTATTTAGAAAGCTCGCTCACACCAGCAAGATGTAATGAAGTTCCATCCACCTCACCACCACATCCATTCAACAAACATTGCTAGGTCGAATCTTGTGGCAATACCGAAATTTCCAGACCCCCTTTAAGGCCCCAGAATAAGTCTACGTTTTCATCCAGATTTGCATCTACGATATCACCGGTGGAGAGGTCGACTTGGAAGTTTTTGATATTATCAAGGGCGAAGCTGTAATGGTTTGTGAAGTAAGATATCCCACCTGGCTTTGTGTTTGGCTAATGGCTTCGCTTTATCGAGGAGATTCTGGACACTTACGATCAAGGGCCAATCCCGCAACTCCAACGTTGGGAACCCTTCCCCCGAGAACACCAACTCCATATGGTTCCAGCTCTTCGTATACAGCACCCCACCAGTTCCCAGGACCAATACTTGCAACAGTCTTATCAGCACTGTGTGATACCTGTGTCAATTCGTTCACAGAAATAACAATCCCGGTATCGGTATTCGTCCAACCCGTATTCACCCAACCTGGATTCGCCAAATGTCCGCCGCTGCGCACGGAGAACGGGGTGCCCAGGAACGAAATTATCTTGATTGTGGCAGAGGCTTCCAGTGCAGATGATAGGTTTGATATTGGTCTGGGTTGTAGTAGCTATGGTGGAGTGAGTAGTAGTGGTAGTGGCAGTTTCGACGAAAAGGTTCGTTGAAAGGTTTCATTGGTAGCTACCACTTGGAAGTGAACCGACATGTATCTTTGTATTAGAAACTGGAAGTTGAGCCTAGGAGGCTACGAACCCAAAAATACCCTACCAAACCCACACAACCAAAGCACCTAGGACTCAGGCCCACTCATATCCTGGAGCAGATTTTAAAATCATAGCCAGCGGTGTCACCAGAGCAAAATTGCTCTTCTGATTTTTACCAATCAGTATCCCTCCAGCTTTATACTGACCATTCTCTTTAACAAAAACGCAGCCACCAGAATCCCCTCCATCGGCAAAGACTATTTTCTTTTCCTCGGACATGACCACAATTTCATGTGTCTCAACAGATGAATGCCAACATTGTACGGAATAACCATTTACCTGGCCTCGGCAGTTCTTGGTCGTGCGACCAACTTTTTCAACCCTTGCTCCTGGATACAAAGGCCCAATCTCACCAATGCATTCTTCATCAAATATGTTACCTCTATAACTTCATAACCATATTTGAAATAACAGCTATAAACTAGGCACTAGTATGGAGGAATTGCAAAAAACTTACCTACTTGTGTAGCATGAGAAGATACAAAAGTCCAATCTGCTTTTCCATGCTGGGTCTGCCTCAAAGGTCCCACGAGGTTGTCCCGGAAGTCCCACTAGCCATTGATCGTATCGTGCAAGTAGGTTGGATTGATTTTCGATTCGTTGTACTACAATTTGTCCAACTGAGGTGCCCGAGAAAACTCCAGTTGTGAGATCAAAGGGCGGAACAGGACGAAGAAAAGAGCAACCAGTGGAACTCTCTTGAAACGCAAAGGTATTCAATATTGATTCTACCTCTGCTACCTTTCCAAGTCTAAGATCTTGACGATCCTCAGAAGGACAAAGTGTAGTATACTTAACTATGCGGTCGAAACGGCTGGTCACTTCGAGACTGGAAGGTGAGCATATTGTAGTTGATAATTCTGCCCCAGGAGCACAGTGTGAAGCTGTAATCCCGAAAATACTCTCAGGCAAAGAAGTACTTCTAAGAAATCCACCAAAGCTTCCAGCCGTAACCAAACTTCCTATAATATTGTCAGACTTATTTTTATCAAAATAGTTTAGACTTGCAAACCTTGAACACCAACAGAAACATGGTCCAAACTCATTACACCTCCTCCACGAACAGGCTCCATGTCCCACATAGTGTCATATTCATTGGTAAGAAGAATCATGTCAGTGTTGGCGAAGACCGGCAAGTTATATGGTGTTTGTGGAAAAACATATTTGGTCATGACCGGCAGCGGGGTTCCAAAGATCAAGGTGGGAACTGATTGTCCTCCTTCTTCAATCGCAGCCAACATACCATATGCATTCTCAAGGTTCCACTCCTGCAGAATAGAGTGGATATAAGAAGCAATCACCGATGGATTGTACTGAGCACATTTTGGAAGATAAGTAATTCGGGGGCCAATGAGGAAGCCGTCTATCTCATGCTCCTGCATGGCTGGTTTGCCAAGTGCCACAGGACTTTTGGGGTTAATTTCTTTGTGTGTGCTGTTTGGATATCTCACCATTAGCCTGTAACCCATACTTTGCTTATGATGGATGATGCAAAGTTCTTATGCTTTACAGCCTTGAGATACCAGGAGGTCATCAGGACCTCAGGTACAACGATATTGGGATTTCGAGAGGCCTGGGAGGTACAAGGGAGATGAGGTAGAAACACAGGAGCTAGGTGGAAGAGAAATTAAGCAGCAAGAAAACAGTAAGGAAATAGGGCTGACAGGAACTGAACTGAATTACCTTTAGGGATGGATATCAAACTTTGAAACTGAGGTATCAGTTCCCGGGGTTTGATGAAAGGAAAGAAAACAAAGAGGATTGGCAGGATGTATGTGGTACAACAGTCAAAGAGAGATTTTTTTCTATTTGTGTGGTTTTTGTGACTGCTTCCCTTCTTGTGGCCATGGAGCAACAATGTACCATACTTGTATGATATCATATATGATGTTTTATGCCATGGGGTGGTTATATGGGGGGTACAATCGCAATACACAGAAATAATCCGATCATCTACGTGCCTACATGTTCACATCTTGGAGCATCCAGTCCTAATAGCCGTGTCAAGGTTCCTGCCACTTTGAAGGACGCTAGGCGACTGTTAAAGTTGACGGCACTCCTAATGTAGTAACTAACAGCCCAGCGGAAAGAAACAACTCAATCAAAGGTTTATCATATACCTTGGAAAAAAGAGGTAATAAACTGCTAATTATTCTATCATAGCTAATGGCTTCCAAAATTGGCGGTTCTTGTTCTCATGCTTCTCTGGTATTCTCACATCTTTTTAATTTTAATTTTACTGGGTTTTGACATTTCCAATACGGTGCCGGTAGTGTGCGATGACAGGCCTGCTGACCTAGGTTATTCTTGGTATACACCACCGGTATCGGTAGCCCAAGGTCTCGATTAGCCTTAGGCCTACTGATGGAGACTAGGCACCCTAGAAATGATTGTCAATACCTTCCTTTTTACTTCCCCAACATTACCACCCCCTTCTCATTACCCCCACCATCGGGACACTATACCAATTTCTGTCACCTGTCCTCTTGTGCCGAGCACCCACTATCACTATACCTCCCAGAGGTAAAGCCATTGCTGTCTGCCGGGCAGCTCATGGAACAGCGCAGCATCTCGCAGGAAAGGTATAGGAGAGCGTTGGTTCTATAGTACCCATGCCCCCATCGTAGTAATAAACGGAAGTTCCCCTAGATGGTTTTACCGCGTCGCTAGCCGAGAGGCTAACTACCACGTTCGAATATCAAGAATATCCGAACGCCTCAATGCCATGGCCCGCCGAGGGCAGGTCGGTTCTAACCCAATCACGATCGTTACCTTCCAACAATCCCCGCGCGATGACTACCGCCCGTACAACCACTGCCCGTCCCTTACCGCCCCCTCAACCCCTTACCCCCCTCTAAGTCTTCTAACAGACGTGGCCCTATTACCGACCCTCCATGGCTCGTTATTAACGGCCCCGCTTTTGCGCAAGGCTCATCATAATAGTGGTACATGCAGCGCTTCATTCTTCGCTATAAGACCCCACGTTGATCGCCTTCCCCGGAGAAACACCACTGTTGAGGATCAACGACGATAGTATATGTGTCTCATGAGAGAGAAGGGGTAGGCGACGGTGGCCTAAAGTCTGTTGAGTACGGCACTGGAGATATATGCATCGACCTTATCATGAACAGGGCCGGAAAACCGGTCCACACTGGCGTACTTCAGGAACTTGAAGCAAAACCATAGCTATACCTCCACAGGGGTGGAGAGGGCTCGAATCCCCAACACAACGCCAAGCACGTCCAGCGAGGACTGTAAGGGAGGAAGAACAAGAAGTGGAAGGTAAAAAGGGTTCCTTCCGTGAGTCCACAACCCTCCTAGCCAGAATAGCCGTATATCCCTATACCGCCACCATTCGAGGTGTCCTACACTGGAGAAGTCAAGGAATCCTCCGTGGGCTTCGCAAACCTGTCTCTGCACCCTGTCCTAAACCTATCGCTCTCGCCACTCCCGTGTCCTTCTGCACGTCAACCCTATACGACAGCATCCTCGCTAAAGCCGCAGCGGCGGCTGCAGCCCGATAAGAGGTACTACCAAAGGGGGCCCTAGCAGGTGAGGCAGTCGAGCAACGCATCCCTGAGATCGAGCCAATGCTAAAGGGCCAAGCCGGGTGTGGGACAAGCATGACGATGAAAGGCGTTGTTGAGGGGGCTTACCTGCGAGTTAGGTGAAACCCAACCCTCGCCTCGTCGGGGCTGACCAGCGCTCCTCTGGTCGGGTTGGTGGCAGCGGCCCTAATTTCCAGTAATATATCCGAAAAACTGTTGTGATATCGCTGGGGTTGTTAGGGACTTCCTGATAACCACATGCAAGAAGCAGTCTAGACGAATGTAAGGGGATGTAAGGAATGGTATGGATTGGAAGGAATGGGGTCACTAGGTGGACTCGGATATCTAGTTGGTTGGATTCTCTATAGTATATAGTGGTCATCTACTTCGGCGATAGGAAGGGAGTTGATCAAGTTAAGAAAACAGTTCACAATTCTTGCTCACTCAAACGATCATATCCTCCCCCGCAAAAGTGCCTAATTGAATTCTCCTCTTTACTCTACCTAAACTGTCTTTTCTACTTCAAAAACCTTCACCAGCCCACGAGTGATCGTCCATGATCACTCGAGAAGATAGTCGCCTGGAGGATGCAGCTTAAATGAATATCTCGATCAGGCTTAGGCTTACCGCTCGATTTTAGGAGTCCCACAAATCACTAACAACACCTTTGCCTATCCTTCACCACCATAACACCCTCCTCCTCCCCATCATCTCTCTCGCGAGTATTGTTCACTTATACCATCCTAGATGCAGGTTTGTATACTATATGAATTACTATCACCGGTTCTCTTGTGTAGAGTACCTACTATCACCATTCCATTCCGGCTCAAGGGCGCCTAGTTCTCCAAGGCACCTAATCGAACAGTGCACTTTTGCGCCTCTACGTCCCATCCTGCGCCTACTTCACCAACTAAGGTTTCTGTCTGGATTCTGCTGCTGTCGCTGGTGCCGGACCCGACCACTGTTCTTAGGGTGGTGGTTGTTGCTTGTTATTCCTATTATTCCACCTCGTTTTGCCTAGGAGTTTTCTTTTAACTTTTTTGTTAGACTCTACCCGTTCGCTAAAGCCGATCTCTGGTGGGCGTGGTGGAGGGCTGAGACACTGTGGATTTCCAGCGGGGGTGTCTGGTGGACTGTCTAGTGGCATGATAGTTGGGGAGTGTTTTGAGTTAGGCAACTGATGGATGTTAGGGGAAACTCCCATGATGTGTTATTAGTTGAGTGGGTCGCGTATAAACCTGCAAAACTCTTGGAAACTATCCCTGTTGGGTGTGTGGGGGATGCGGCAGACAGGTGTTGTGCTGCATCACTTCTGGTAACCCAGATGGTTGATATTGCTCTTGTATCTCTCAAATAAACTATATCCGAGTGATATTACATGACTATCAGACCCACCTCCTTCGAAAGGTAGATAGACTACAAAAAGTTCCCCTCTGCATCCCCCAATAAAAAACCCCCATAGGATGGCCTCTGGAAGAACCGCCCAGGATCGTACCTCTGACTTATAGCCTTCTACTTGGCATAGCACTCCCTGCCGTAAGAAGAGATCAGGTCATGCTCATGAGAAGCGTCGTTCAGATACTGACTGGGAAAATATAGTCCTTTGGTCTCCTCTAATCCCTTCCACCCCTTTTTCAGTCACTATTCTGTATCAAAGATGTATGAATCGTCTGGTGGGTTTGTCCAATCGAAGAGGTAGACGAGCCCTTCAGCAGTCAATTAGTAAGAGTAGGGTGGCAGGGGGGAAGGGGGGTGCATTGCTGCAGTTCATCTGAGAATCCCATCGCGTTCCCACCGTTGAGGGGGCTGTACTCGATGGCAGATTTAGAGGTTGTTTGCATGACTAAGGAGAGGGTTCCATTTGCACGCTGGGTGGCTTCTGCTTGGATGTGTTCATAGCGGGCGCAGAGGGATTTATGGAGGGCTACGTCGATACCAGTGGCTATAACGCCGACAGTGTCTATTTCCTCGTGGGCTTAGTGTGTCCCTCTCGCGTGCTGGGGAAATAAGCATACCTTTTGGCGGGCCCAGAGAAGAGCGGTGCGAAGGCCTGCTTTAGCCCTGCTAATCCGGCAACCATTTGCCCCACGAGTGGGGAGATTCTGGGAACGTCAGAGAATGGCTTGAATGCTGCTAGCTGTTTGTCAGGGTACCCCCCGGCATAAACCAGGGTTATTGATAAAGTGTCTGCCTTGATCAATTACATAATACCAGACTTCGCACCAAGCTCTCCAACTCGCTGGTACTCCTCCTGCGCTCCGAGAAGTTTCTCATTCTGTGTGGCTGAGTACCGAGGACTTCGTAGTGGAGAGTAGCAAGTTCCAGGAACATTGTTGTGTGTTGTTGCATGTTGTGTCTTGTTGTCTATTGTGTGTGTACGGGCAGCAACCTGGAGGGTATTGTGGAAATGGAGGATGTGATGTTGAGGGTTTGTAGACGTAAAGGTCAGAGGTGATTGTGATCTCCCACTGTGTTTGCTCCTGTATTTAGAAAGCTCGCTCACACCAGTGAAATGTAACGAAGTTCCATCCACCTCACCACCACCACATCCGTTCAACAAACATTACTAGGTCGAATCTTGTGGCAATACCGAAATTTCCAGACCTCCTTTAAGGCCCCAGAATAAGTCTAGGTTTTCATCCGGATTTGCATCTACAATATCGCCGGTGGAGAGGTCGACTTGGAAGTTTTTGATATTATCAAGGGCGAAGCCGCAGCCGTTTGTGAAGTAAGATATCCCACTTGGCTTTGTGTTTGGCTAATGGCTTCGCTTTATCGAGGGGATTCTGGGCACTTACAATCAAGGACCAATCCCGCAACTCCAACATCGGGAACCCTTCCCCCGAGAACACCAACTCCATATGGTTCCAGCTCTTCGTATACAGCGCCCCACCAGTTCCCAGGACCAATACTTGCAACAGTCTTGCCAGCACTGTGCGATACCTAAGTCAATTCGTTCACAGAAATAACAATTCCGGTATCGGTATTCGCCCACCCCGGATTCGCCAAATATCTGCCACTGCGCACGGCGAAAGGGTGCCCAGGAACGAAATTATCTTGATCGCGGCAGAGGCTTCCAGTGCAGATAATAGGTTTGATATTGGTCTTGGTTGTAGTAGCTATGGTGGAGTGAGTAGTGGTGGTAGTGGCAGTTTCGATAAAAAGTTTGTTGAAATGTTTCGTTCGTACCTACAACTTGGAAGTGAGCCGACATGTACGTATTAAAAACAGGATGTTGAGCCTAGAAGGCTACAAATCTAGAAATACTTCACTAAACCTCGCACAACCGAAGCACCTAGGACTCTGGCCCACTCAAATCCTGGAGCAGATTCTAAAATCATAGCCAGCGGTGTCACCAGAGCAAAATTGCTCTTCTGATCCTTACTAATCAGTATCCCTCCAGCTTTATACTGACCATTCTCTTTAACAAAAACTCAGCCACCAGAATCCTCTCCATTGGCAAAGACCATTTTCTTTTCCTCAGACATGACCGCAATTTCATGTGTTTCAACAGCCGAATGCCAACATTGTACGTAGTTTTCCCAACCATCCCAGGCGCCCTGCATGGCCCTGGCGGGCTTGTAGTCCCGGGCGTCCCGGGCGTGGTGGGTAAAGACGGCAGGGCATGGCATCTGTCTTTGATAAAGACTGCTGTCCGAGGGGTTGACGCCCGGGCCCGGGGGTCTTAATACAAATGGCATCTTCCAGCCGTCCTTACCAGGGCCCGGCCGTCATCTGCAGAGCCCGGCCGTCATTTACAGGGCCCAGCTCTCATCTGCAGGTCTATTTGCAGATGAGACACCTATAGGGCCCAGCCGGCCGTCTCGGGCAGAGGTTAGGCTGGACCACAGGCCGGGCGTCCATCCAGGGCAGAGTTCCAGGAACCGGCGTCCGTCCCGTCCGAAGCTAAGGATGGACGGACTGGACGCTTGGGAACACTGCATGTGTACTGTTTGGATATCTCACCATTAGCCTGTAACCCATACTTTACTTATAATGGATGATGCAAAGTTCTTATGCTTTACAGCCTTGACATACCAGGAGGTTATCAGAACCTCAGGTACAATGATATTGGGATTTCAAGTGGCTTGGGGGGCACAAGAGAGGTGAGATAGAAACATAGGAGCTAGGTGGAAGAGAAATTAAGCAGCAAGAAAACAGTAAGGAAATAGGGCTGACAGGAACTGAATTACCTTTAAGGATACTCGTGCCAAGGTTGCAGCTAGGGCGCTGCAACCCCCGAAAATTCGCTGGCTCAGTTTTCGGGGGCACTCATCCTGAGTGCCCGACAGCTCAACGTCAATTTGCAGCTCAACGTCAGTTTGTGGCTCAACCAACTATTAGGAACAAATTGAATTTAATTACTCAGGTTAATTTTATAGTATTATCTTAGATTATGTGTGTATAATATAATTCCTAATGTAATTTTTTACTATAGCATAATTTTCTTTCTAATTTTACATTTAAAATAATATTAGATAGAGTTTGTATATCTAATTGAAGTTTAAAAAATATGTAAGTAGTATCTGTATATAGACACTAGTATTGACATGCTTATCTAACTCTATGTATAAACTAGAAACTAGAATAAATATTAAAAGTAGCATAAGGGGGTGTTTTTACAATAGTAGAATCAGGATTACTAGAAGGAACATAATTTATAGGCAATTTAAATTTATATTTAATCTTATAAACTACAAAATTACATAGAGCCACCAAAATAAATGTTGCTCTAATAGTTGGTTGAGCCACAAAGTGACATTGAGCTGCAAACTGACATTGAGCCACAAACTGACGTTGAGCTGCAAATTGACGTTGAGCTGTCAGGCACTCAGGATGAGTGCCCCTGAAAACTGAGCCAGCGAATTTTCGGGGGTTGCAGCGCCCTAGCTGCAACCTTGGCACGAGTAGATATCAAACTTTGAAATTGAGGTATCAGTTCCGGGGGTTGGATGAAAGGAAAGAAAACAAAGAGGATCGGCAGGATGTAGGTGGTACACAACAATATTTATTCAGCATCAGTTGCATTAAACAACATAGTGCACTTCGGTTAACCATGTTAGCCGTCAAAGGGAGATTTTTTCTATTTTTGTGTGGTTTTTGTGACTGCTTCCCTTGTTGTGGCCATGGGGCAACAATGTACCGTACTAGTACGAGTACCCGTACCGCTACGGTACTGTGCTCGGTATCATACCCGTATCATACTTGTAGCAGTGCACCGACGATGGCCATGTCCTGCGTTGTTGTGAGAATGGGAACCCTTCGAAATATCATAAGTATCATAATATTATTATCATAACCTGTAGCACATCAGATTTCACTACGAGCCCGAGTGAGAGAACATGACTCGTTAGGGTAAGTGGCGTCTCCGATAAGGATGTGCAAGGCATGCCCGTTGCTCGCCAAGGGATGCGATTTAATCTGCGTTGGGTTGACCGTGAATCTAATACAACGACGCGTCGCACAGAGTTCCATCATAAACCTCATCACCTCCACCACCGCCTCCCGCTTCCCAACTCTTCCACAACCAACCCTCATCTTACTTACCTCCCTCGGCTATCCTTCCGCAACAGAGCTATCCAAGAGCAAACAAAAACCATCGCTGCCACAAAACAAACAATCCTAGCAAACCCGGCAAGCCAGCCACCCACTATAGCTAAGAAGAGAAATGCCACCAGCACATGCCCCCCCACTACCACCACCGCCACGGCCCCGCAAACCCAAACCCAAACCCAAACCCAAACCCCGCACAAAAACGCCCGTTCCTCCACCGCTAACCCCCGTGGAGCGTGCGGCGGCAGAAGCACAACTAGCAACCCGACGCCTCGCCAGCCAATCCCGCCTCAAGGACGCCTGGGAGAGCATATTCGAGCGCTACTCGCAGGACTTTGACGGCGTGGCGGACGAGATTGATACGTTGACTGGCGAGGTGGTTGTTGATAATGGGCATCTGAGAAGTTTGCGGGGTGGTGATGATGGCGGAGATGGTGGCGGAGAAGGGTTTGATTGGGAGGGGATTGTGAATTTGAAGGCTGGTCAGGAAGAGGAGGGGGAATGGATTGATGAGGAATGTTCAGAGTGCAAAGATAGGGATGAACTTGATGATAGTTTTTGCCGGAGCTGCGGTGGTGGTGGTGGGAGAGGGGGGATTTTTTCTACGCCGCTTGGTGCTAGTATTGTCACGCCAGCGAAGATACCGCGATCGAGCCCTCCTGAAATAGCGCCTCTACCTCACCCGCTGCCGAGGGTGAGGGCTGCGGATCCGAAAGATTGGCTCGTCGAAGATGTCTCGGAGTGGATGTGTGCGCTGATTGACTTTTCACGGGATGAGGTGGTGGACTTGCGCAAGCGGGTGGCGGGTGGTGGGGTTACGGGAGAGTATTTGCTCGGAAGGTTGAGGTTTGATGACTTGAAAGAGACTGTAAACTTCTCCCCTCTTTGTTTCTGATGTCTTTTGAGCTTGGAAGGCTGACAGGTGAATGGATGGGGTAGTTGGGCATCACTTCGTTTAGTAAGCGGATGGAGTTATGGAATGAGATGCTAAAGTTGAGGGGGAGGGGGGTTGCTTCTGGCGGTGGAATTACAGAGTCGTCGCCTTGTTTACCGATGCCCGTGCCTGTTGTGGATTCGTTAGAAGGGGATATCGACGCTGACACACCGACGCACACTGGGCGGGGAAAGCCACCGGAGAAAGTGGTGAAGGGGAAGAAGGTCATGGTCATTGGCTTGGAAAGTCCTAGGATGGCATCTGTAGGGACATTTGATACACCGAAGCAGAACTGGAGGGGCAATGGTGAGGGGGCGAGCCCGGGATCGGGGTCTTTGGGTCGTACACCGGATACTATCAGTACGGCTATTGCGGCCGCTACACCAACGCGGAGCATCAAGAATCAAGGCAATGCCAGGAAGCTGCCATCACCTACTACCAGTATCGCGGACACTCAAAGACCGGCGGCGAAGCAGCAGCAACGGCCAACGACTGAAAGGCAGGAATCACCGGATATCATCAGCTTCAGCACCCCGGCGCCCGCCACTGCCGCTGTCATGAAAGCACCTAAGCAAAAGCTAAAACCAGAACTAAAACTAAACGCTACCACCCCATCAATACCTGGCGTTGCTAAACCCCCCTTCCCGCAGGGCCCCCCAACGTCAAATACAAACCCTTGGGCCCCCCACCCCCCGCTTCAGACCCCTTCTACTCCCCGATCTGGAATGGCGAACATCCGGACGGCACACCTGCTAAATTCCCCAGCTCAGCAATGCACTTACCTCTCCCACCCAAACCCAAGCCCGCGCCTACCACCGCCACCGCCAAAAATGAAGCCAAGAAAAAAGGGCGTTCGGCACCCACTACCCCTAACACTACGGCCAAAACCACTATTCCGCCCATTCCTGCCAGCACGATAGCAAAGCCAAAGCCATTCTTGACACTGGCACCGCCGAAACGAAAGCGTAGCTCGTCGACCGCTGGCACTGCCATTGGCTGGACCACCGATGCCAAGAAACGGCAAAGGTTATCCGGGAGGAGCTTTTTAAAGTTTGGCGGTGGAGAGGACGATGACGAACTCAGTAGCGATGGAAGAAGTCCTGTCGAGAGGGGTGGTCTGAGCCAAAGGAAGGGGATTATTGTTGGTAGTGAAAGCGCGGGAGCGGTAGAGGCAGAGAAGGTACATAAATGCTGCGGGCGTGGCTTTTGTTTTGGCTGTCTGGATTTGGAGGGGGAGGAGGATGACTTGGTTTAGGTTCTGTTAGACTTGATTTGTGGGGGAGTTTGGATGGGGTTTTGCTTGTGGCTTTATTTTTTCATTTTATTTTATTTTGCATACATGCATTACATTATGGCTGGGTTGGTTGGGTAGGTAGGCTTTTGGGGGATAGATGATGGGTCAAGGAATTTCTATATAATATTGTTGTGTGTACTACTAGTACACGCTAGCAGTATTGTTTCGCCGTGTTGGTGGTGAATGGTTGTTCCCAGAGGTTAACTTGACCTTCTGCCCTTCGAAATATCACTCGTGTATACGGATTATTGTACTGTACTATACAGTAAATGGAAATCATAACGGGACCATGAGAGTCCGAAGTTTTTTTCCCCCCCCCCTCCCATCCAACCAGTTACCTTTAACCCGATCCGTTAATCTCACCCCCGACCTCACCGGCGCACGAGCAGCACTACTACAATACACACATGATACACACAAGTAATTTACAGTGCCAGTGCCAGTACCAGTGCCAGTTACAGTTACACCCACAACAAAAACCCCGGACCGACAAGAACCGGACCAGACCAGAAAAACCGCGGTATGATACCGTACCGTAACCACAAGCAACGGCAATGGATCGACCCTCTTCCAGCACAATGTAACGAGCAGGACGACACCCGCAAGGACCAAAAAAAGTGTATCGTACTTTGTTATTATACGGTAGTATAGTTTAGTACCGGTACTTGGGTACAGATATCAGGACGACAGGCATAACCGTTTGGATATCATACCTAGATAGAGTAGAGTAGGGGGCACTGGTCATATACTACCCTTTTTTTTTTCCTCCTTTCTTTTCTCCTCTTTTCCTTCTTTTTTTTTTCTTGTTTTGAAAAAGAAAAAAGAAAAAAAAAGACAAGGTGGTTAAGGGGAGGAGGTTCGTTGGTCCGATCGGTGTCCGGTAGATGGAGTGTGTCGAAGGTTGGATACTGTAGAATTGGGGCTGCTATGGTCTAATTAAGACGTGCAGTACCGCACTGTACGAGTACTAGTGCTGTACGAGTACTGTACAGTGGATCTCCGCGTTTAAGGCCAGCGTGCCGTGCCTGCCAAGGGTGTATCGCGCTATATCTGTCACGACTTCTCACTCTTGCATGCTAGTGTGGCTGTGGGGCGAGCGAGTATTAGACCGACATGGCACGGTGTGTGGTGGTTGGGAGGGGGGGGGGGGGAGTTGACAGCTACGCACCCATTGGTGGATCGGTGTAGGGAACGTGGTGTTTGTCGTCCACCGCTTGCACGTAGACTATCTGCCGACACATGCTACAGCAGAAGACCCCCCCCCACCCCTCTCCCCGGATCTGGAGGATCCAAGGAAAGGAAATAACGATAGAGCAAGCACGATATCGTATCTGGGTTGTGCCCAACCCAGCATAGCATTCAATACTCTTTCATACATTCACCCTCTCTCCAGAGCAGCTAGCACCTAACCAAGTCCTAACAGGCAAGTCGCTCCCTTTCCCACTTGGAAACTTCTCACCATTTCATTCATTCCCGTGCCCCACATAATACCTACATACCAACCAACCGCAGTAGCAAATACGCCAACCATCCAAAAAGCTAAAAAACAAAAACAAGCAAAAAGCCAACTTTCCACGCAATGACGAGCAACGTAACCAAACGTAACGTAATGTATGAAAGTAGATAGGACAGACGATAGGATGAGAACCCAGAAAGAAAAAAAGGAAATGACAATCATGACTCGCGACAAACGTTATGATAAAAGCAGATAGCCTCCCAGTGCTGATTTGATGATGGTGACGGTAAAGACAAGAAGGAGAAAGGGAAGGAAAGGAAGAAGAAGAAGGTGGCGGTGGTGGTGGTGGTTATTACATTTGCGCCCGTGTAACTAGGCTAGAATAAGGTGGGGTGGGTGGGGTGGGGTTGAATACGAACCGTAAGGTAAGGATGAGGGAGGGGAGCACACAGACAGAGACAAACGGACAGGCAGACCAAAAAAACAGACAGGCAGACAGACAGGCAGGGAGAGGGGGAGAGAGAATGAAGGAAGGGGAGCTGCACTCCTCCGATGTCTCCCTCCACCCTTCGACTCGTTAGATATAACTCGCAAGGAACCACCAGAATGAAAAGAAAAAAAGAGAAAGCAGATCAACTCAAAGAGCATCAACTCAAACAAATACCCCCTCCCCCATCCCATACCCCAACCTCCGATACTTCCGCGAAGCATAATACTTCCCTCTGCCTCTCCTCCCCGGCCCGTTCGTATCCCCCTCCTCCTCATCCATAGCGTCCTCCCAACTAAGTACTTCCCTACCACTGTCGCTCTCGGGATACTCCTGATAGTAAGCCCGCCCCTTGCACCTCTCAAATTCCATAAGGCCCCCAACGCACTTGTCCGCATTGGCGATGAAAAATTCCTCCCCAGTAGGCGCAAACTCGATTCCTCCAACCTCGCCCCAGAATTCCAATTGTTGCATAGAGTCCCAGGATGTTGCGTCCACAATCTGCACAATGTCGGCGGGTTCCGCCATTGCAAGGACTCTCTTGCCGCCGTATCCGAGCGGTGAGAAGCGTAGGGCTCTTACACCGGCCATCTTCGCAGGGAGCACCTTCATGGTTTCGTTCAGTTTTCTGGCATCCCAGATGCGCACCGTTTCGTCCTGGTTCCCAGTAGCAATAGTGTGCCCGTCGTCGCTCCAGGCCGCAGCGAAACCGTAGTCTCTATGCCCTGGGAGGACGAACTGTGTGCTCCCGCGCTCGGCATCGCAGATGAGTACGTCCGTATGATCCCCTACCACAACCCGTAGGCGCGAGTCCGGACTCATAACGCTACAGTTCACCGCCCAGTCGTATTCGTGTTGAGTGTTGAAAGCTAGAGTCTCGCAGTCAAGGACACGCACGTGACAGTCGTTCGATGAGAAGACGGCGTTTGGTGTGTTGTTGTGCCTGTTTCGGACGATCTGAACGTGGTTTGTTATACCACTCTCATTCTTCGTCACAATTCCGGTGATGGGTTGCGCGGATGCCTGGGCAAAGAGCGGTTTCATAGCGTATTCCCCATGAAAACAGCCCGCGATCACCACTCCAGACTGACCGGTGCAGGCACTTAGTGTTGAGATTCGGATTTGATTCCCGCTCCAAGAGTCCGAGTACGACAAATCCATCGTAGTCACCGTCGATCCCGTTAGCGGATTCGTCCGAAGAACCTTCGCATTACCAGCGTAGAAAACGTCGCTTCTGGACACCACTCCCAGCAGATTGCGCAGTTGGAAGTGTATCAGACGGGGCTTCTGCTCCGTGTCCATCCTTCGGAATTTATAAAATTGGCGATTTTCCGGTATGCTAGGCTGTTGATCCCAATCAGCATACCGATATCGTGAATGAAACCCGGAAAACCAATGAGAGCGGAATGCAGGGTGGGACGGGCTTGTGGGGGCTATATGCAGAAACATGATGTTCGATTAAGGTACCCGTAGATCTGCTTCTAAGCCGAAGCATTACATCCGATATCTGCCGGAAGCACTCACTTGGCAAGCGAAACCCCACCCCTCCCTCCTAAAATCGAAGGGAAAAAGGAAAGAAAAGGAAAAAGAAAAACGGAGCCGTAGGGGAGGGAGGGAAAAAAAGGGGGGGGGGGGAGGAGAGAGAGACGGAGAGGACGAACGACTTACCGGCTGTTCAGGTTCAACATCCTTCTCATTCCTATAATTAATATATTCCTTCCGGCGAACGCCCCTGGCAACATCGACCGTGATCCCCAACTTCTGCCAAGGAATCGCTTGAATATCGCAGCCATCCCTCTCAACATCCCGTTTCGTAATCTCTCTCGGTCGCGGCAGTTTCCTGACGTCTGCGGCTGCCACCGACAATTTCTGGTAACGTGCCGGGTTCATCCTGTACCGGCAGTAGGCGTGCAGACAAAACTTTGCAAAATCGTAGTTGTAGTTTTCAATGTCTTCAAGGGGTAGGTTTTGTTCAAACGTGTGATCAGTTATGCCCTCAATTTCTTCATCTTCAGTGAATACCCCGCCGTCCAGAACGACGGGTGGAAGGGACAGGTACGTTGTGGAGAAATGGAGCGGGAATTCAACAGCAAAGGGAGTGGGTGAAGGGGAAAGGGGATGGGGAGGTGTGGGTGTGTATATTGTGAAGGGGTTAAGGTCGTTTGTGAAGGGGTTAAAGTCATCGTGAATTATAAGGGGGGGAGGGGATGGAGGTGGTGAATGTGATGTGGGGAAGGCTTCTCCAACACCAGCAGCCGCTGGAAACTCCCCCGACGCCGTCACAAGAGTGGCGAATGACGAGGGGGGCACAGCCGCTGCTGTTGTTGGAGGAGTCTGGGGAGACTGAGATGGCATACTCTCGTTCCAGCCCGGTGTTTGGCTAGCTTCCGACTCCAAAGCTTCATCTTCCATTGTGGACCCCTCTTGCTGTCCTTCGAAGCTCCTCGTAACCAGAATCTCGGACAGTGGATCCATCATGGACCCATGAACGCCAAAAACCCCAGAGTGCAGGTAATTATCGGGCTGGGTAGCGGCTGGCGACGACGAATGATCTTGCGCAAAGCCGAACTCCTCCAGCGGAGGGTCCAGCTGCATTAGAAAGACGGGGTCATCGTCGTCGCCCGGGGCTTCATCGTCATTGGCGTTTTCGGATCCGTTATCCGCGGGGCCCTCATGGGGGGATGGATCGGTTGGCGAGGGGGAAGAAGAAAAGAAATCTAGGAAGGCGGCTCCCCCGCCAACAGGAGACGGAGGCCTGGTAACGAGGTTGCTCGGCGAGAAGTCCTCCTCGTCTTCGTCAATCGGATTCGGCACATGTAGCGTTGGCGGCAAGGGTAGTGGCGAACGGGTAACCTCAATGGACTCCATGTCGCTGTCGAACAGATCCACGTCAACGCCTCCGTCAGAATCTTCCTCGCAAGCTTCCTGGTCGGGGGAGCTCTTGCTGTGTTCAAGGGGGGAAGACTGGTGTTTGTTCGCGCCAGTCAAGCCGTCCAGATCCCCGGGAGTAATTAGGGCGCCGCCGAATTCGGTCTCAGAGGAAAGGTTGGAGCTGGGGGTACTGCTGAGAGGGGATCCGAAGGAGGGAGCAGGGGATGGGCTGCTCTTGTTCCAGCTGCTCGGTATTGACTCGAAGGGAAGGTAATCTTGGTCAGCCACGGCAGTGGATGCAATGCCCTGCTGTCGCGCAGAGACACCACTGCAATGGCGGCGATGGTGGTGGTGGTGATCATCGCTGGGGGCTGGAGCTTCCCGTGGAGAAGCGGCCGGCAGAATTTCCGTTTCAGAAAGGTCCCGGGCAGTTGACAGGTCAATTTGTTGCCACCGGTGTCGCTGTTGCTGCTGATTCTGATGTTGATGCTGGTGATGGTCTTGATGGGAATTGGGAAGGCAGTTGTGGCTTGAGGCTGCATACGATTGACCAATGCAATGATCCATATGGAACGGGGATAGCGGGGGATCAGTGGAGGAGGGAGAACTGGACTCCCTGGGGGGCCGCTGAGGCCTCTGACTGGCGGACGAGGAAACCAACCGATCCCGACCGTCGGCGGTACCATCCCCACCCCCGCCACACCCCCATTCAGACCCGCCGTCAAGATCCGACGACGACATTTGTGGATCGGAAGTTAGGGTAGCGTCCGCTTTTGGAGAAGGAATGAGGGTGGAAGAGTAGTCGAGAACATGCGCAACTGGCCGAACAGGCGAGCGAGCTAACGAGGACGAGGGTGAGGAATTGGTCGTGTCGGGGCGTGCGGTGTGGGGAAGACTGCAGGCAGCGTTCCTACTCGCAGGATAGCCGTTGGTAGAGCCAATCACCTCTCCTTCGAATCGACTTTCCTGAACCTGTCCCTGTGAACCTCTTCTTCCGCCGCAACGACGGACGGCGGATCCTGGGCTATCGTGTTTGCAGCCGTTACTATTTTCAAATTTATCGAGATTTGACGGATTAGTGAGAGACATGCGATGGTTGGAAATTTGCTTTTTCCCTCCTTTTTTTTTCTCCTTTCTCCCTCTTTTCTTTTTTCCCCTCCTTCTTTCCCTTTCCCCTTCTCTGCACTTTCTTCCAATTACCGTAGTAACTTATCGCTCTATCTGACCTTTTTTTTTCTTTCTCCTCTCTAAAGAAAAAAAAAAAAAAAAAAAAGGGAAAAACCCCTCCCTCTTTTTTTTTCTCTCCCCTGTTTACCGCTCCCTCTTTTCTCCCACTCCCCTATCCCTGCTATTCCTCTTTTTCAGGGTTTGTGTTAGGGGCGCCCTCTTGTCGTTGGGTCCTGTTGGACAGGATTGGATGGTTGGATAGCAAGTCGTGGAGGGTCGGAGGAAGGAGTGAGAAGGGCGAGCGTGAGTGTGAGGGGGCTGGGGGAAGGCGGTGGTGGGAGTTTGTTTCGTAATTCCTGCAGAGAGGAGAGCAGCAACTTTTTTTTTCTTTTTCCTTCTCTCCCTCTTTCTATGTCCCATACGGTGCCATACTGTGGGTACGATAAACCGTGCCGGTACGTGAACCACGGCAATACGCACGACGTTCGCAACTAGGTTTAGTGACGATGTTCACGGCCAAGTACCATAATTATCATACATATAAAATAACCAGTAAACCCTATCATAACACACGCGCACACACCCTCTCCCAACTCTCCCCCCCGGAGATATTATGGAGATACAACAAGCATGCACCAGGGCATCGGGTGCAGTGCGTGGTGTATAAGAAAAACTCCTTATATACAAAGAACTCAACTCTGAGGGAAAAAAAAAAAAGACGATAATGGTAATAATAATAACGATGATAATGATAATAACAGCGATGGTGTTTTCGAATTGGCCGAGGGTGCAGGAGGGTGGTAGGTACGTCGCCGGTGGAAGGCTGTTCATTATATGCTGTACGATAGTATGGCATGTTATGGTATGGACACGTCGTGCATGGTGAGGATCCAGCCAGATTAGATAGATGTAGGTGTGTGTGTATGTATGTATGTACGAGTATGTATGTATGTATGTGTGTATGTATGTATGTATGTACGAGTACTTGTGTGTGTGTGTGTGTGGTGGGTGGGGGAGGCTCTGGGATTGCGGTTGTTGGAGCTGTTGTTGTACGGTTACTGTTGTACCTTCTTCACCTGCTGACATATCACAGCTAACTGTATGTATGATATGTATGTAAGGCAAAGTTTGTTTTCTCCGGCTTGGTTCAATCGGCCGACCGGGTGAAGGACGGACGGACCGGACCTTCTCATGTGAGCGCCGGCATCGTGCTGGATATCGTGATGTGTATTGTGCGCCGTGGGGGAATAATCATAGAGTTTGACTCGTCTATCGTAGATTCATTGGGTGCGTGAACCAGTGAGATGGGGGATGGGGATGGGGGGGTGTTTCCATCCACCCATCCAGTTCACCATGCATTTTGTGCTTCCTTCTTTCATTCCCACACCTCCCTCCCCTTCCCCCCCGGGTCCGCTTTTGCTCATGTCTTGTCCTGTCTTGTTCTCCTTCCCCGCCCCGCTCGCTCGTCCCTCCTTGTATCATCATCACACGAGTACCGGTAACTGTTCTGTGTGGATCATGTTAACCCCCCCACTGCCGTGTCATACATAATTGGAGAAAAAGGGAAAGAAAGAATGGGGGAGGAGGTGGAAGGAGGTGGAGGAGGTGGAAGAAGGGGCGAAAGGTAAGGCGAGGTGCTCGGGAGGTAAGGCAAGCTCCCCACAGTATTCATTATGTATGCCGTTCGTCGCGATGCGCAACCGGTATTAGATATCAATTATGCTTGTATTGTACCGTTACAAGCAGACTCTTTTCTTTCTTCCGTCTCTATGTAGTACTCGAGTACCGTATGCATGTGTGCATGTATGATATGTGGTATGTGTGTGTGTGTGCGGGTTAAAAATAGCTTGCGGTACGGTACCGGTACCGCATTCCATTATCCAGCTGGGAAACTCAACTACCGTACCGCACGGTATGGGTGTGTCGTGGGGGAATAATTTACCGGTACTCAAGTATGGTACGGGAAAGCCGGTATGGGTACCGGTACCGTGCTGTGGTCTGTAGAGGGAGGCAGGAGGAGGAGGAGGAGGAGGGATACCGTAACCTGCAGTTAGGGTTAGGTTTATGAACCTGGGGTTTTCGCGGGCTGACTAACCATAGAATACCGGTAGTTGCGGGATTGACTTTTGGTGTTTTGCGGAATATTACCGGTACCGTACCCATGATACAAACTTTCGGTCAAGCTACAGCGCGGTACTGGTGCCCGAAGACGCGAACCATCGCGGAGCCTCGGCTTATGGCCAGCCACCTGGAGTGAAGCTCATGGATGAGAAATTTTTCGGGCATTGAAAAGTCTCTGGGGAAAAAGCCAACACCGTAAGCACAGCCAACTCTCGGAACCGCGGTCTACTCGAGTACGCTCTAGTACGTTGAAGAGCCCGTCCCCCCCCCTTTCCCCCTTTCCACCGCTATCATGAGCTAGAGTACTCGTAGGTATGCTTGCCCACACAATACGATAAAACACCAATCCTTGCACGTCCCTCCGTGGGACAGAACACGGTACTGTACAGGTACTACGAGTACTCCACGGTTGGCTGCTACGATGGCTGTTAATTTCGGATACCGTGTTCATTCATTCATCCATTCATAGTTTCGTCCATAAGATGCTCGAGTGGACGGATGGACAGAGCTTGGCGCTTATACCAGCCCGGGTCAACTACATGCATACCGGTACGTACAGACGTGCTCGAGTACTATACTCCGTATATGCATACATACAGTACATGTACATACATACATATTATACATACCCACATGCTCGTACAATGCAGCGCCGGTACTACACGTAGTATGATATCGATACCTACGGTGCAGTACATCCACCTCGCTGTGTCGGCGGTCTCTAATCTTCTGGTGGACACTAGCTTGCCGTAAAATCCTCTCGACCTCCGCTCCGAGATATTGCACCTCTTGTCCATATACTCGTATGGCGCTGCGGATAAGCGTCAGGACCCTATCCATTGGGGCTCCCCTTTGGTATTTCATGGTTTGCCTTTGAATCTGGTATCCAAACGTAAATCACATCGCATCGAACCAGCACAGCTTTTAGTGAAAAAAGTACTACCATGATTCTAATGTATAGTACAGGTGAAAGAAAGAAAGAGAGGAGAGGACGGATAGCTTCAACGATAGAGCTCAAACCAAGAGTACCGGTAGGCGCGGATGCCGTAGAGGGGAGAGAAAGAAGCAAAATTCGAAACAGAAGCGAGAGGGCGAAAAAGAAAAAGGAAAAAAGAAAGGAATACGGTACACATTATTCGAGGGGAGGAGGGGAGGAGGAAGTGGGGAGGAAGTGGGGAGGGGGGGGGGGTTATTTCTTTCTTTTTTTTGCCGTTTTCGTTGTGTCCTCGGAGAGTGGCTAGACTGGGCTAGGATGACAAGTCATGTGCTCACCGCACACTGGTGAAGCGATGCGGTAGAGCACCTTATGTCCCCAAGGCTGGCGGCCGCCAAGAGAGAAGACAAAGTTGACACATGGGAGAGAAAAGAAAAGTAAAAAAACATTTTGGTAAAAAAAGGGAAGTAGCGACTTGTGCAAAAAAAAAGCAAGTAAAAAAAACCCTGATAAACCCGTAAAAAAAGTTGGAGTCCAGGGAAATAAAACCCTCCCTTGCTATACCCAAGTACCGTACCGACCGTCGCCGCTGTGGCCAATGAAAACCCGATTTTTGCGTCCGTCGCGACAAGAATAGCAAAAGGGAAAAAAGAAAAAAATGGAGAATAAAGGGAAGATAATATAACAGGCAAGACCGGCCAACCACCACCAATGTGATATTCTGATATACTGTCAGGTCAAACACCTCCCATAACAACGTCGGTGGGCTGTCCATTCTTCTTAGCAACTTCCCATTCCGCCTTCTTCCTCTCGATCTCCTCCTGGGACATGTTCTGCATCTGCATCCATGGAGCGTTGTTCAGGAAGTCATGCCACTTGTTAATCCGTTTCCCCGAAACAGCCCGCATCTTGCTTTCCCCGGCAAGCCGCTGGGACCTCCTCTGCACCATAAAGTCTTCGGTATTCGGCGCGAAGAACAAGCGATATGTGTTCACGCATATCCGTATCTCCATGTTCTCTTCATTGCAGAAACCATCTGCTACTGAGCTGCCAATCATCTCGCGAGGGGAGCCATCTTCTGGTAGGTCGTCCTCCGAAGGCCTATTCCTTGTCAAGAATACTTTGGCACATCTTCCCAACGGAATGCCCTCTGTCGGCGCGCACATCATATATGTCTGGATGTAGTAGTTCCAGCGCTCGTCTTTATCGAGTTCGTTGGCGATCGTCATTTCGTTTCTTGGAACATATCGGATGGTCGCTTCCTTATTTTCCTCATTCTGTTCAATTATTAGCAACAAATCAACCGGGTGGAATACGTATATTCTCCCTTACCCAGTCAATTCGATAAACACTATCTTCAGGCGCGAGCATCTTCTCGATACTTCTCCGATAACTAATCAACTCCTGATATTCGCCACGTTCTTTGGTGAATTCTCTGCGCTCTCTATCGCACTTGAACAGCCTGATAATGTCGGCATTTCCACCCTTGTCGGAACTCTTCTCTTTGGTATCGTTCGGCACGATAACCTGGATGAATCTCAGAATGGCTAACAAAAGCTTGTCAATGGTGTAAAGCTGCCATCCCTTCTGTACATAGACAGACCTGAGTCCTTCCTCAAATGTATTTGAGTCGAGTTCGGCTTCGATAAACTTTTCGCAGTGATCAAGGACTTGTGAATAGTAATTCGCGTTCGGGCTTGTATCACTGAAGAGCTCTTCCATTTTGGAGGAGCCAGGAACACTATTGGAGCCCAACAAGTGCAAATCGTGAGCTGCCTTCTGCTGTCTTCGAATGGTAACATCGTTGCGAATTTCCTCTTCACAGGCCTTGATGTCTGACAGGCGCTTGCAAAGAATCTGGAAGGTACGGAAGAAACAATAAATAGTTGTATTCGCATACAAGGTAAATAATGTTCTCTTGACCGGAAGCGATGATTCGTCACCATGAGACACTGGAGTGCCGGGTTTCATATCTGGGAGGTGTTTTGTAGGCCTCGATATCCAATGCTGCTCTTCCTTGATGGGCCGGTCTGGTGGTCCGTCAAGGGCCATCTCGATATCACTGTCGTTCTGGTTCACCTCCGGAGTAGACTCCTTGCTTCCCCGAGAGGCGACACTTCCTTCCTTATCCTTCCTGGAGCCCTTTCCATTCTTGCCAGTGCCGCGCTTGAGAACGTCTTTGAGCAAGTCATCCTGTCTACCGCGGCGCCCCGCTCGGGTTGAACTCTCTCCGGCTGCGGGCGATCCTTCGTCACCATCATCATCGGGTGACTTGCGTGCGATGCTGTTAACAGTATCCTCAACATCTCTTGAGTTCATGCCGAAAAACAGCGGGATAAAGGACTTGATAAAGTAGTCGATCTTCTCGCGGTCGTTGGCGCTAAAAGTATTGGTGTGTTCTAGGGAAACGGCTAAAAGTCGGCTAGCATCAAGGATTATGCCAAAGTCTTTGAACGTGTACATGAATTGGTGTTCGACTATGGGCGTTGTAGAGCATTGACGTCTGACATCTTGTGACTTGTACTTCGCCTGGATATCATTCACCAACGCCTTCGTACTGAAAGCTTTTTTATCGTTCGCCTTAACCGTGATTCCCTGGTGGTCCAAACTCTTCCAAAACACCTTGGCCGTCTGATCACGCCATACCCTCTGCCACTCCCTCTGAGCAGCCTTCCACTCCTCTTCTTTTGACTTGAGACGTTTCAAGACGATCGGTACAGTTACGACTGGATTGTTGTGGAGCATTTCGATCACCTCCAGCCCCTTTTCCTTATCGTAGACTTTCTTGATGATCCGTTGATATATTGTTTTGCTTTGGCCTCCTAAACCGGGGGCTAAGCGGAAGTTTACTTTCTCTTCTGGCGTCATATTCGCTATTCGTTGGGCAATGGGTTCAAGGAGCTGTATAGTCCTTGAGTTGGCTTCGATATTGAAGTCGTAGTCATGGCGCTCCTCCTCGATCCTGTGAAGAATGTCCTCGTACTGGTTCTTCTTATGCGCAACGAACCCAGAATCCTCTGAAGCCCACGTCGGGTGAGAAGCCCACTGATCATTGAGGACTTCCCAACACATCTCATCCCTACCACTACAAGGTTTTTGAGCTTCCTGGAGGTTGAGATGTATTTAGCTAGATAAATTTTACAAGTAGGGAGTGCGAAACACTTACCAGTTTCGGCAATAACCTGTAACTGGGGCCAAGCCCACGGCAGAGATTCAATCTAACCTTATTGACTGTACTAGGAGCGTTGTCGATTAAGTCATCTGCTTTCCCATCGTAGCCAACAAATCTCTTAAACCAGTCCATAAGCTCCTTGTTGCCACTGATGAAGTTTGATACCTTATCGACAAGCATATCTTTCGCAATTAAATCGTGGGAAAAGAGGTTCAGGAGCTTGAGAAATTCATTATATGTTTGCTTGTTTCCGATGAACTTCTTAACGCGATCGAAGAACGCGAGCTCTTCGGTGGTCGCCATGGGCTGTGGCTGTGGCCCAAGAGGCTCAGGGTGGAAGGGAATTAACGTTGGTGAGACGGCGACGAGTTGTTCAGCAACAGATGGTTTGGCAGGATGGCCGACCTTATGTCTCTGCCAAATGATGTTAATCCTTGACAAACTCCAAGGTTGCGGCACGATAGCTGTACCAGTGTCACATACCTTGTTGCTTCTTAATGCATTTGAGGTGCCGTTCGCACTGTTATTCTCAGTTTTGGGCTCCTGGACAGTGCTAAGTCCTTGGGCACCGCGCTTCTTTTTGTTCTCCTTTCCAACGCTGGGAGGAGGCGCAAAATTTCCCACGGGAGGTAGCCTTGATGTACCAGGTGCCCCCCCAGGCCCAGAGGGCCCACTCGGCCCTATATGCCCAGTATGGCCAGCTGCCTCATCGGCAGCAGCCTTCGCTGCCGCGGCCGCGCGAGCCTGGGCGGCGGATTCGGGGAGAAACTGTTTAAAATCTTCTAAGAGGTCCGGTGCCGAGTGGAACAATTGAGTAACCTGGGAATAAACATCTTGTATTGGCTTTGACTCCCGTTGATATGTTTGGAGAATTTCCAGAAAGTTCTTGTAAATTTCTGGCTGTTGCGCGAATCGATTCTAGAAGCAAACAGTAAGCAAAACCGATAGAGACGATTTATTGGACATCTCCACGTACTTTGATCTTATTCACATAGCTAATTGCGTGGTTAAATTCCACTGGGCCTTTTCCAGACTTAGGGTCATTGACTCCAGCTGTAGGGGTTCCAGGACCTCCAACTACGAGCCCTACAGGCCCTTTCACACCGGAGCCATTGGTATGAGCTACGGCAGATTGCAACTGGTTCACACCCTGTTGTACACTGGCCTGATGCTGGGCCTGCTGTTGTTGCGCCACTTGGGCTTGCACGATCTGTTGCTGGTGCAGCTGATGGGCAGACAAGGGTTCAGATTGCTGTTGGGGGGGTTGGGATTGCTGCGCTCCACCCGCCCCGCCCTGGGGACCATATAGTCCGTGCGCATAGGGCGTGTCCCATCTACTGACCTGTTGCTCATAGAATATTGAGTGCTGACCTTGTCCAGGACCGTTGGCACCACTTACAGCAACACTTAACGAAGCAGTGTTCAATTGCATTCCACTCCTATCACCACCAATTGATACCTCACCACCTGAAGCAGCGTGATGAATTCCCGAGGGAGTTGTGACCGTAATTTTAGTATCCCGTGGGTCCTGGGAGCACTCGATTCTATATCCGGGGGGAAGGAAGGTATTGAACCCCTGGATTAGGCTCGGATGGCCGCTGAATAGTGTTGAAACTCTGTCTATAACCCCAGGTGTGTCGATTCTAGCACCCAAGACATTCGGGTTTAGTCCCCGCGCATTTTCGTAGATAGGGGGTTTAAAACTCACGCCTGACTCTTGAAGTCCTTCATAATATCCAGAAACTTGTTGTATACATCTGGTTGGTCCTGGAATTGAAACTTTACTTGATCCAGGTAGGACAAGGCATCCTTTACATTCAAATGACCATGAGCACCCTGAAAACCCAAAGAAGAAGAGGCTCTGCGACTATCGAAATCTCGCTCCGCAGGGGAAGGCAAGATATCAAAGGGAAGGGAACGGGGAGGAGGAGCGGTTGGTAGGGGGCCTCCTACATTTAAAATGGGGCCCCCAGGCCCACTGCCGGGTCCGGCTGCGGATGGGGGCATCGAGGCCGCGGCCTGTTGAGCTTGGCCCTGGGCCTGACTTACAGAGTTGCTCTGTTGGTGCTGGGGAAGGCGAGAGTCGGCCTGCTGGGGGTGTCCGACAGGCAAACTGGACATGGGGTGGTGAAGTGTTCCCGCAGGTCCTTGTTGCTGCTGCTGGGACTGCTGCTGGGACGGGTGGGGTCCCTGTGCGGTTAGGAGTGGCATCTGAGTTTGGCCGGCAGCCGAAGAAGTTTGCATAATATTCGGGGGCTGTTGAGGGCCTGCATTCTGGGGACCCGGTCGCTGAGATTGGGCCATACCTTGTTGGGCCGGCTGAGTGGGACCGGGTGGAGGACCTTGAGCCTCACGTTGCTGTGGAGGGCCAGTATTGCTTCCGGGAACGGAGGGGGAGGGGCCGTGTGGGGACGCGCCGGGAACTGATTGCATGCCGGGTAGGGTATATTGCGGATGCGAACTGGAAAGCGCGGGGAGAGGGAGTGGTTGAGAGGATGAGTGGTAATAGGGAGCTAATGCATGGAAATCAGAACTGAAATTCTAAATCGCGCAGATCGAAATTTATTCGTTTCCAATTTTCATCAACTTACATCCTGACGGGTTTAGAGGGGGCGGGGGTAGGACTGGACCGCCTTGGGCCTGCTGTCCTGGACCGTTCCTGCAGTTTGTGCACGTCAGCGGCTCTTGCCGGGAAAAATGTCTTCATCTGTATCGGATTAAGGAGGAACTCACTGATATGGCGGTAATGATCTATGCTGCTGCAGCGGAGGAGGAACCTGAGGCCCGTTGCTGGGTGACTGCTTCTGTTGATCTGGGGGAGGGGGGGGATGGGATGGGTTCCAACTGTCTTTTCCAGACATGATAGGAAAGCCCCGTAATGGCTACTGTACTTGACCGCGATGAAACTTTGTCTTCGCGGAAAGTTAGTGGGGAAGTAGGGAGGGGATCTTGAATGGCACAAACAGGTTCGGCGGGGCCTGATAGACCGCGCAAATGGAGCGCACCCTTGAACAAAAGGATGGACAAGAGGTGGGTGGTGGATAGGCGGGAATCCCTTTCGCGTTCCCGGGAGAATCTCCCGAGCAAACACTGCGAACTTGGGAAAGCGCGATACTGATCCGACTTGGAAGAGGTAACGAGTCGCTCACTGGGAATAGTGTGGGGAGAGGAAGGATGTTGGGTGTTTTGGGGGTTTAGTGGGAGGCGGGATGATGATGGGAGGGTGTTGATAGTTAGAGTTTTGGGAGAGGTGGGAGAGCAGACGGGGCACCTCTTCCCTCTTCTCTCGGGCGCACAGTGTTTTTTGCGCCTAATGCATACGTAAAAAGTCAGCGAGCCGAAAGCGGTTAGCGCGCCAAGTCAATAGTATTCGAACCTCACAAATGACTATGCTCGGAGAGAAAAACAATGGGATTATGATCGCCAACCGCCCAATCAACACCCACAAGACCCCTCCTACCGGACCGGTATTCTCATCGGTCGGCACATGTTTCCCAGTGCCGGTACCCGAGCAGCACTGCACAAATAGTCAAGCTATCTCAGCCCCCGCAACGATGCGCCACTGGGGGCTCTGTTTATCAGGAGCCATGATACCGATACCGGTATCAACAGCTCTCATATTCATAATCCTGTCATCCACTTGTCACGCTCCCTGTCTCACGGGATTGACCGGGTGGGGCTGTCATCACGGCAATCTCCACTTCATGCGTAGTCACTCGAAGTACCAAACCGTGAAAACCGGAATACCGGTAGCTGAACCTCACGCTGAGACGTCCGGGTTTCCCTCCTTTGGATTAGGAGGAGAAAAGCACAGTGGAGGAACTACCGTATTCTAGTTTTTTTCATTATACCGTCCTGGAGCCGTCGGAGAACTGCTATTCACCATCAACTTCCCACTCACTGCTTTGGTGTTTGGGTAGGGGCATATATTCTGAGACATATTTGTCGTCACTAGGGTGGGGATACATATTGAGTTTCGTTGGGTAAGTTAGTTAAACAATCTAATCGATTTTTCTGTTGTTACTTTGTGTATACGTTTTGATAGGAGCTCCTAGGGGAATACCTTTAGGTGCGTGTATTCGTTTCGGCTAGCTGGTCTTAGATCATATTTCGCGATGTCCTAGAATAGGCGGTGGGAGTGACCCATTCTATTGGAACATGGCTAATTGCTGCCAATATCAAACTTTCACTCACTCGTGATAACTGTGGTGTCTTCTTCTCCGCTTCTCTTCCCCGCTTCTCTTCCCCGCTTCTCTTCCCCGTTCTCTCCCCGACCCCTTCCAAGAATTCCTGCAGCATCTCAACAAAACTAGAGAACCTTCGAAACACGTGCAAGGAAGGGGATCTTGGGCATGGGCAAGCCTTCCGGTAAAAGTTCTGGTAATGTTGGGAGTAGGAGGTTCGGACTGTACCATATCTTAGTGTTAGGGACTCATTTTATAGCAGAGAACTCCTCATGCTCAGCCTAAATACGGTTATAAATTGATTTCCTATTCCGGAATCTTATCCACACACGATGTAACAGAATCCGTGTTTGTGCTTTGTTACAACACGGCAGCAAGCCCTTTTTGAATAGATAAAAAAACAGAAAACAGGCGTGTCCTAACTCAAATGCCTCCTACCTCGTCGGGTTATCTCATGATGGTGGAATGATATGTGCATGCTCAATTATTGATGTGCCTTACAAACCAAGCTTCGTGGGGAAAGAAAACTCGACAGTCATGATAATAGTACATCCCCGAGTGTTTCCGTACTACTAGAAAAAAAAGACGGAAACATTGAGCATTCGGGAGGGGGGACAAAACAAGAAATATATACCCATACTGTGAACCAACGCCAAACGGATGAACAAAGAAATAGCAAAAGTAGGAGTAGAAAAGGAAAAACATAAATCTAATTTACTCCCCTAGCACCGTTATCCCGGTCTCCTCTTTAACGTCGTAGCTTCTTGGGAACTTCCCTTCCGCCGCCCAGAGCTTTAGTATATCGGTCAGGTAACTTAGTTTTTCTCTGACACCAAAATCTAGCAGCGCTCTATTCTTTGAGATGAAGACTTCTTGGTGTGTATCTTCAAGGGACATGACAATGAGTTCGTGTGCCTTGGTAATCATACGGATTGTTCGACCGCCGGAGGAGACTATGAGCTTCGTGTGATCAATAAAGTTTAACTGGGTGTGAAAATGTTAGCAGGAGTTAAACATCAACTATTGGGTAACGAACCTGGAAGGATCCGTCAGAGTAGCGGAAGAGAGCACATCTCTTGAGCCTTGTATAATGGGTGACGAATAGCATTCCACGATCGTCACCACCAACGGTTGGCTCCCTGATTACGGAATCCCTTTCCACACTCCATTGTTCGACAGTCTCTAGATCTGTCTTCATATAGTTTTTGAACCTCTTCCACATCTGCATCTTCCTGGCAAGTCCTCTGCTGGTCCTCTTCTTCTCGTTGAGGACGTCCATTTTTGTTTGGAGCCTTCGGTATACAGTATCTTGCGAGGAATCACTGGCGTAGGATTGAGTAATAAATTCGACCCTTTCACCACCGATACCATCAACTACGAACGAAGTGTTATCATTGAACATCGCCGTGCAGGTGCCATCTGTAAGAATGTATGCCACCCCGTACTTATTGGTGTAATCTACCCATTTTGTGATGAAAACGTGTTTATTGGATTCACCTCTGCGAAAGGACTTCACTGCTGCGATGGTAGCAATTGGTGTAGGAGATAGGGTGTGAAGTCTGGAGCTGGAAAATGCCTCAAGGTTATTAATGAAAGGTCTTAATGATGAGAGGATTGTGGATGTGGAAGTTGAACGAATGGACACGCCAATCTTGGAACTTAGGTTGGGACCAAACTGAATAATTGGGCCTTCAGAAGGTTGCGATGAGGGCTGCGAGGATTGCTGCGATGAGGGCCGTGTTGAAATTATAGGTTCCTGCGACGATGGTGGAAGCTCGTATTGGGACTTGGCCGATGCAGAAGGAATTGGTCGTGATGGTCGGCTCTGCAGTTTTCCCGGAGGGCTGGGTGCCGTTCCGGTAGGTGGTGCCTTGATAGATTGCTCGTGAGCTTCCGGTTGGCCCGCAGCTCTCAACTCCGCAGCATGCGACTTCACACCTTGGTTACGGGGAGGAAATACACTCTTCCTGGCAGCTGGAGATGTAACAACAGTGCTCTTTCGTATCGGTTGTGCTTTTAGACGCTGAGCAGTTGGCTTTGCTATCGGGTCTTCCTCCTCTTGGTCTTCGAAACCATCATCGGACTCTTCTTCCGCTTCAGAGACCTTGGCCACTTGTGAAGCGGGTAGTACGGGTGCTAGTCTCGCTGGCATTAGCCCAGCGGCAACAAGCCCGGTTCCCCTTGTCGGGCCCCACAATCTGGATGCCTTTCCCTTTAGCGCACTGGCACCCCGCATTCTCGCATGGCTGTCCCGTGGGCTTAGGATTTCTGGTAGAATATGAGCATCTGTTTCCTTTCGCTTCCTCGCCTCGGCCTCACGCTTCATATTCATAGTTTGCTTTTCAACCGCAAAAAGCTGGTTTCCATCGCCGATAGACAACGCCGATGTCGGCCTGGAAGGTGGAAGCGTCAGAAGCTCCACACTCTCGCCTGCATGATCTCCAACGGCACTAACGGGTCTTCCATCCGAACGGACGCCGATGCCGCATTCGCGAGCAACCTCTTCATAGTTCTTTATCCAATCCTGTCTGTTTGCGCTAACGGTTCCTACTCCTTGTCCACTAGCACCTCTCCAGACTGGTGGCTGTTTGCCAGCGCTGACTGGGATCGATCTGGGAAAAAAACCGGACTTGAAGAAATAATGGTCGGCAATATCGTCTAGTGTAGGCCGAGCGTCGGGGTCATGGTTGAGGATCGAGTGAACCAGATGCTTTGCTGCTGAACTGACAGGCACCTCCTCAGGCCAGCTGAAAGTGTTGTGGCGAATTTTTCTACTTGCAGTTAGTGATGTGGTTCACATTTTATTCCAGTCTAGGCGGGAACTTACTGGTAGATAACATTTACATCGCCAGCTTGGAAAGGAGGCTTCCCGACGAGCATAGCATACCTGTGTACAGTTAGCAGTGTTTGGAGTTGTCGTTCTGCAGGGAACCCACATTATAACGCCAACTCCCCAGAGGTCAACCTGGAAACTATGTCCTTGCCCTTCCTTCCCACTACCGAACAAAACCTCCGGAGCAATGTAATTCGGTGTCCCGCATATAGTTCTCTTGCGATCGTTTTCGTTGACAAGCAAGGCTGCAAGCCCAAAGTCACCGATTTTAATGTTCATTTCTGCATCCAAAAATATATTACCAAGTTTAAGATCGCGATGGATAACCTTCTTCCCATGCATATATTTCAATGCACCCAGGAGTTGCAACAAGAAGAATCTTGCCTCGGGTTCGGTAAATCGTTTGCGAGCCCGCAACATATCCATTAATGACTTGTTTGGACACAGTTCCAAAATCATGTAGATGTTGTCACTATCTTCGAAACACTCAATAAACTTGACGACGTTCGGGTGAATCATTGTCTTATGAACTTGAATCTCTCCAAAGAACTATTGATCGTCAATAAACATTTTCCGATGGGAAGATATGAACAAACTTTGGCTTTCATTCTCTGGTTTTGTAAACTCTTCTTCGCGACGGTCTTTGCTGCGAATAATTCGCCTTCCTTATTCTGTACCAGGAAACACCTTGCAAACCCACCCTCACCGAGCTGTCTTCCACGGTCATACTCCGCCCTTCCTCTCGTATCCTGTAGAACCTGGGGTGGGGTGGCACACAGTAATTTCTTCTTCCGGTCTTTCGCGGCGGCTTTGGGGGTTTTCGGGTCACCTGGCGGTTTCTGGTTTGCGGTGCTGGAGGGAGCTGGCGGAGGTCCCGAAGCAACACTCGGGGCAATTTTCAGAGGTGCAACCAGTTGGTAGTCGGACTGCTTTCGGAGAGGAGATGGGTTGGCGGTCCTCATCGATCGTTTCCTGGTCAGAGGCCGGGTAGGGAGATTTGGATCCATTGGAGATAGTGCGGAATTTTTTTGCAAAGCAGCCATTTGTGTTCTCGTGTTTTTCTCTGGGTGCACTTGTGGCTTCGAAGGTGACGAAGCACCGGAGCGTAAAAGAAAAAAGCGGGAGAAGAGTAGAAGAGATGGGAAGTTGCCCACTCACTCTAGACTCAAGTTCGGACAGAATCAAAAGGACGAAGTGATCCGGGACAAGATCTGGTTGATTGTGTTTGGGAATGTTGGGGTCAAGAGGCGAAGAGGGCGAGTGGAGGTGAAGCCAAAAGGAACTTTCACGCTTAAACCGACCAACCGTTGCGCTTTGCAACAACACCCCGTTGCTAGGACAACGAACAAGGACAGAACATCTTGGCGCCAACTCAGTCATTGATAGACCTGTGGCGCAAACCTGCGGTGATTAAGCGGGTTGCTGTATTATACGAGTACATAATATTATGATATTTTAGCCCTGATGATACCGACAGGATGAAACCGGGTCTGGAAGGGAAAGCCGGATAGTGGGTGAGCTTTGCTCGCCTGCAGGAAAGATTGACAATCGGCGCCTTCACACAAACCCAAGGGTTTTCTCGCGAGATGGTATGAGGGAAACGATCAGACAGGTTCGCACAGGTCCAACAAAGGCAAAGGAACGAAAAGGAGGAAAGGGGAGAGCAATCGGCTAGCGTCCTAGCCGCGTTCCCGACGGTGTCCGTTGCCCTCTTGGTGATCGTCATCCTCGGCACCGCCCGCACCAGAATCAAGAAGGAAGGAGAGAGGGGGTGAAGAAGAGGCTCCATATGCGCCTTTCGGGCCAGCGAGCGCCTCTGAGGATAGTGACCAAGAACCTTATATAGACTAACGAAAACCTGCCTGACCAAGCCTGGGGGGGATAAGGGTTTGTGCGGAAGAAGTAACCGCATTTTGGCTCCCACGGTATCGATATTACGGCTTGTCTTTGAGTTGGACGGATCTCGCTGCACTTCCCCAGGCTTGGTGTGTTGAATGAAGTGGACTGGTGTCTTTTGTTTTGCTGCGCTGGGTTAGGGGTAGGGGGATCATGGGAGGATTTACTCTGGGTGATTTCCGCCCTCGTGGTCCCATTGGGTTAACGCGGAAGCAGGAAGAGGATTAGCTGGTTGGTATTATATTTCCCCTCCAAGACCACCATGCTTCCTAAGGCTGCTAGAGTTTCCGGGCATTGTCAGATATTGGCTGGAAAGTGGTCTGAGGGTTGGCTCATCGCATGCGTGGTAAGGTGAAGAGGCCGCAGGTCGCAGTAAGAATTGGGTGTTCACCTCAAATTTCCTGTTGCGGCGGGTTCGCCCCGTTACGATTCTGCGGGTGCAGTTAAAGGTACGAGTAAGAAAGCTGGTGCGATGGAGGTGGCAGATGCCAAAACCGCAGGCCAACACCCACACCTTGTGTGTTCCTCTGTAAGTCTTGGTGGGGCTAGTGCTTGAGGCGGAAAGGATGTTTTGCAATGAGCGGTCGACCCGGGTGCAGTGTTCGAATAGCAGGTCACCTTGCTGTGCGGTCAGCAGCCGATATCCAACTGCAAGGCGGAATAAGGGCGGACCCTCCCCGTGCGATTCTGTGGGTGGATTGGCGTTGGGCTCGACCCTTCTGCTGATCTCCCATTCCCCGGCTTCATCGCCTTTGGCTCCTGTGCTTTGGCTTTGCATTTCACATGATTTTCAGTAGCTATTACTACCCCAGTCCAGCTAACGGCTTCTATCGAACTCGCTTTGGGTCGCTTCACCGCACTACCTCTTGTTGTATTGTGTCGTATTGAGATTCAGGCTTTTCGAATCAACAATTCGAACCCAGCCCATTAGCGAGTGACAAGGTGTGATTATCCATGGAATCTTCCTGGCTGATGGAGAACCAATTAAATGCTCACTGCACAAAGAAGGAAAACTAGAGGCGAGATGCTGAGTCGTTTTGGTAAGCCGGATAATTTTCCGCCCTTATAATCGTAGCTTGGTGGACTCGGGAATAAAAGTCATGATGGTGTCAAGGCTCTCCGTAATGGAGTGGAGTAGAAAGTAGGGTATTATCGACCTGTTTTTTTTGTGCTGACCAACCGCATTTTCCTCACTGATATAACTGTACGTTCTTTGAGTCCGGGCTTTTGCCTAGTAGGAGCCGTCGCATAGGTTACGGGCAACTGGCCAATCTGTGAACCCGCATTACGCGGCCCATCTATGCTAGCATGTCCGATGACTTCCAAGCAAACAAGACCTTGGACTTCGCATTCACCTTTGCCTGGTTCTTACCTTTCCCCCTCTTGTCCTCAATCCTCTCTTCGCTCCCCTTTGCAACGATTTGGATTCCTTACACCACCTTCCTCTATACACACCCCTACACGAAGCCTTTCCTTTCGCACAAGCGTTTATTGTTTGATCAATAATTGCCACTGCGTGACCAATCATGCCGGCGCGACGCCCAGCTTGCGGAACCCTCGGGATGCGCCCCGGTAGGATAGTTTACCGTTATAACTGTCATACCTGTAAAGTCCATTTCTCTTCGAGCACTAACCACGAGGCCCACCATCTTGCATTTCACCGCCCGTCAAACTGTACCTATCTACCCAACCCTCCTTCATTTTCCCGTTATACGACGAACCGACAACTAGGTGTGCTCGCAGAGACCGTGTCACGCGATCGTCTTGAACCTATTCTACACTGCGTAGAAACGGGTTGCGCTTGTCCGCGCTTCGAATTTTCCACCGATGAGCGTAGCTCCGAGTCTTGTATCGAGAATGGAGCAAAGCCAAATCTTGATGGTGCAGCCGGAAGCACTTTGACTGGAGAAGAGCTCGATGATGACTTCGAGATTGAGCCAACAGAGGTTAAACTCGTTCCCAAGTCTGGGGAAGAGGAGCACTCCATGAGGAAACGCTTTAATAAAGGCAAATTTGGGCATAAGCAGAAACTTCGTGACGAGGCTGCTGGAAGAGACCTTGAGTTCTTCAGGGCCTATGAAGCTGCGGATAGGGATCTCTTTGGGCGGGAGCGGTTCGAGGAGCTAGAGGATAGGGCAGACGCCGGTCCGGATCCGAGACAGGGTGTGGGGGATGAAGTGGACGGGGAGAAAAATAGGGTAAAGCCACTCTCGGCGGGGGAGGAAAAGGCAAGGCTCGATTCTTGGAAGCGTAAAGTTGGTCTTAAAGATCTCCGAAGGGAGAAGGAAAAGCAGGACGAAGAGCTCCAGAATGCTATAGACTCGCTCATATTTGACACCGTTTTTGACCTTGAAGAAAAGGGCCAAGAGAGGAAGAGGGAGTCTAAATCTAGGAGGGAGAATAGCAGACTCCACTTTGAAGACATGATTGAGGATATGGCTCTAGATCATGAGCAGAGGATTGCCGAGTGCGAGAGAGAAGATCTAAGAAAAACACTGGGGAAGAAAATGACCCAGGCTCTCGGGAGGGAACGAGATGAGGATATGGTAGATGACATTGCCTTTGATCATCTGCAAGGTGTTGCGGAGGCATCACGAGAGCATAACCGGAGGAGAGAGGGTAAGAAGCAAGAGAGGGATAGGAACAGGATCAAGTTCGATGAAACGGTAGATAATGCTGCCTTGGACCACCTTCAGGCGGTCGAGGAAAGGGACCGAGAGCACTTGCGGAGGGCCTTTGGGAAAAGAGAAACTCGTGGGCGGGCTGCTCAGCACTGGGAAGATGTGGCTGAGACGAGCGTACTGGATTATTTCCAAGAGATGGGTGAGGCGGAGCGAGAGATGGAGAGAGGTGCTTTGGGAAGAGAACAGAACCGGAGACTAGCAAGAATGAAGACAGAGAATGAGATCGAGGAAGCTGTCGCAGACCACTTTCAGGAAGTCGCCGAACGTGCCGAAGGATGCAAGAGGCGTCAGGATGGGAAACGTCAAACGAGAAGTATTGCTAGGGATTCGGTGGATATCGAGATTGAGAACGCTACCAACAGCTCTCCATGGAAGTCTGAGCTGAGGGTCGGGAATTCAGCTTTATCCGAGACCGAAAAAGCTGATACTGAAAAACGATCGGAAGCTTTCTTGAGTAGGTTTCAATGTCAGGCAGACATTCCGGGCACGGCCGCGGACCGTTTTTCCACACAAAATGCTCAGGAGCGGGATCGAAAGGGGGTTTCGCCCACCTATCCCGTCTTCCGCTCCCCTGGAAAGCGCAAATATGAGGACGAAGAAGTTCAGGCTCAACCGGAGCACTCCATGGAGGGCCCTGCTTCTACCACCGAAACCTCGAGGGCGAACCGTAGAAGAAAGAGGCCTAAAAGCTCTAAACAAATGGAATACGATGCGATGGTGGACGAAATGGTTAAGAAATTTGAAGCAAGTAAGCATAGTGGGAAGAACCCTAATGTAAGTATTGATCGTTGTTCCTGGTTTCTGTTTTCTCGATGTGAGAGCCGTCATTAGCTAACCCGACCGAATGGTGACTCACGGGTATAGGTGATATGATCCACAGTATGTGGCCTATGGCATCAGGGAATAAGAGAGGGTGGAATATGAGAGGGTTCCGGGGGAGTCATTTACAGTGTGAATTCATGTTGTGAGCTTGTGCTGATTTCATATGGCTTTGAATCTTGTTTCGAGGGGGTGCATTTTCTTTTTCTCTTTCTACAAACTTGCATTTTTACTCTGTTGCTGTCTCAATTCATTCTGTCCACTTTCTTCAATTTTTCCTAAATTGAGGAGCTGTATTTGCTCTGTTTATTGTAGAGGATTCAGACTGTTATTCATCCCGAGAAGTTCAAGGGTTCTCTGGTGTCTATAACTCCGTGGCGGTGAGGGAAAAAAAAAAACCTGGTGGGAGGGCTTGGGTTCTAAATAGTTTGTGAATTGGGATTCCTAGGTATTATAACGTCCCGTATCAAAAGGTCTTCCATCGTGGTGCGCTGGTGTGCGAGTGATATATAATGACGTGGCGGTGGAGCTGTTCTCGTAGCTACTCTCCGGAGTTGTGATCTGAAGAGATGGGATGAGATGGGCTAGGGGCAGGGTCTTACTCTCAGCCATTGTTGCCGTCACTACCCTCTCGCCGCAGTAAAACGCGTTATACAGCCATCTCTCTACAAATGTAATTACACCCGCGCGGTCTTCTCCGCTGCAAGCCAACCCCCCGTCCCCTTAAGCGGGTGCGTCTATCTATCTCCTTTTCCCACTTATAGAACATCTCGCAGGGATATTATATAGATAGTATTTAGAACCATCACCGCCTACGCATGGTATTTCGTAGGTGGGGCATGTTCTCTCGTGAGAAGACTACTTGATGCAGTTTCCCTCGTTGTGTGCCATAGGGCCTTTGGAAACTTAGAGCGAGTAGGGTCAGTGAACGTAAGGATGGAGGGGCCATATGTACGCTTTTTTTCTCTTGTTCTAGCTTTTGGTGAGGTCTGTTGGGATTATTTGGGAGAGAGAGAGTACTTTAGGCTTTTCATCTCTGCTGCTTGTATGATAGCATCTTTGGAAGAGGCCTGCTTCGTGGTTGTTTCCGGGGTATTTTCTAGAGATTCTCTGGGATCCTCCACCTTTTCTCTTCCGAGTCCTCAGATCCGGGACCAGAATCCCTTCTCTTTGGCGATCCTGAGGGGGACAGACCTCTCGGCCAACGTTTTCACTTCCGCGACTCTTTTATCTTTGTTAATATTTCTCCCGGGAAACCTCCCTTTTCCGCCCTTCAACTTCCAGTTCTTCTCCTCTAGCTTTCTCAACATGTCCTCATGACCGTAATCTGGATGGCTTTTCCTTAAGTGCATTGGCACCCCGCATTCTCGCATGGCTGTCTTGTGGACTTAGAGGTTCTGATAGAATATAAGCACCTGTTCCCTTTCGTTTCCTCGCCTTGGCTTCGGGCTTCATATTCGCTGTATGCTTTTCAACCGCAAACGGCTGGTTTCCATCGCCGATAGACAACGCCGATATCGGCCTGGAAGGTGGAAGCGTCAGATGCTCCACACTCTCATCTGCATGATCTCCAACAGCACTAACAGGTTTTCCATCCGAACGGACACCAATACTGCATTCGCGAGCAACCTCTTCACAGTTCTTTATCCAATCCTGTCTATTTCCAACTGCTCCTACGCCTTGTCCGCTAGCGCCTCTCCAGACTGGCTGTTGCTTGCCAGCGCTGACCCGAATAGATCTCGGAAAAAACCCGGACTTGAAGAAATAATGGTCGGCAATCTCGTCTAGTGTAGGCCGAGAGCCGGCGCCATGATTGGGGATCGAGTGAACCAGATGCTTTGCTGCTGAACTGACGGGCACCTCCTCAGGCCAGCTGAAAGTGTTATGGCGAATTTTTCTACTTGCAGTCAGTGATGTGGTTCACATTTTATTCCAGTCTAGGCGGGAACCTACTGGTAGATAACATTTACATCGCCAGCTTGGAAAGGAGGCTTCCCGACGAGCATAGAATACCTGTTTACAGTTAGCAATACCTCTAATTGCAGTTTTCCAGCGAACCCACAATATAACGCCAACTCCCCAGAGGTCAATCTCGAAACTACGTCCTTGCCCTTCCTTCCCACTACCGGATAAAACCTCCGGAGCAATGTAATTCGGTATCCCACATATAGTTCTCTTGCGATCGTTTCCGTTGACAAGCGAGGCCGCAAGTCCAAAGTCACCGATTTTAATATTTGATTTCTGCACCCGGGGAATATATTACCAAGTTTTAAGATCGCGATGGATGACCTTCTTCCCATGCATATATTTTAACGCACCCAGGAGCTGCCGTAAGAAGAACCTTGCTTGAGTTCGGTAACTCGGAGCAATTTTCAGAGGTGCAACAAGTTGGTAGTCGGATTTCTTTCGGAGGGGAGATGGGTTGGCAGTTCTCATCGATAGTTTCCTTGTCAGAGGCCGGGGAGGGAGATTTGAATCCATTGGGGGCGGTGCGGGGGGTTTTCTTTTTTTGCAAAGCAGCCATTTGTGTTCTCGTGTTTTATCTAGGTGTGCACTTGTGGCTTCGAACGTGGACGAAGCGCTAGAGAGTAAAGAGAAAAAGGCGAGGGAAGAGTGGAAGAGATGGGGAGTTGCTGATAACACCTGATGTGCTTGGGAGAGAGAGAAGAAAGGAACTTGGTGTATTTCCTAGCTATGATACGTAGGTTACTCTATATGATATCTAAAGGGAATACATGACCGCTAATGCTCACACACACACAACCCTCCGTGCCCCAACAACCCTGAAGAAAACCCGAGTATGGTACCACATGTCATACCAACAGCTGCCTACTCACCCCGGACCCACCCCCGGACAGAACCCAAAAGACAGAGAAATCCAGGACAAAAGATGTGGTTGATTATGTTTCAGAGTGTTGGTTAGGAGTCAAGAGGGAGCGAAGAAGGAGACGTGGAGGTGAAGCCAAAAGGAACTTTTACGTTTTAAGCCAACCAATCCCCGTGATTAAGCGTGTTGCTGTATCATACCAGTATAGTATCTCATCATAGCTCTGATGATACCGACAGGACGAAAAACCGAAGCAAACCCAGATGGTAGGTGAGCTTCGCCCACTCGCATGAAGGATAGATTGGCGATCGGCGCCTTCAGACAAACTCTGGGGGCTCTAGCTGACCCGGACGGAATGGTGGCGTATGATGGGTATGAGTGATATGATTTGGAGTATGTGGCCTACGGCCTCAGGGAAATAGGAGAGGGTGGAATATGAGGGCGGGAGGCGCCGTGGGGGCCGTTTATAGTGGGGGTTCACGTTGCGACTTTGTGCTGATTTCGTATGGCTTGGATCTTATTTCGGGGAGGGCGCATTTTCTTTTTTTCTCTTTCCGGAAAGCTTGCACTTTTGCTGTTATTGTCCCGGTTCATTCTATCCACTTTCTTCGATTTTTCCTAGATCGGGGGGCTGTATTTTTCTCGGGTTATTGCGGAGGGTTCAGACCGTGTTATTCATCCAGAGAAGTTTAAGGGCTGTCCCGGTGTCTATAACTCCGCGGCTGTGTGAGTAAAACAAGACGTGGTAGGAGGGCTCGGGTTCTAGATGATTTGTGAATTGGGATGCTCGGGTATTATAACGTCCCGTATTAAAAGGTCCTCCATCGTTGTTGAAAAATGATTGATATGGAGGCAATGATCGGTAGTGAGGGTTTACGCAGCAGAGTAGAATCACGCAAGTGGAGATGGGAGGTTTCTCTCAGGTGAAGAGAAAGACCATGATTGATTGCTTAAAGATGGCTGAGATGAAGAACTTGAGGTGAGAGGTAAAGTACAGGAAGTTGTTCCCTCGCAAGAGAGGACAGAAGAGAAGAAAAGACAGGGATGAGAAAAATTTGCATGGCATACGCGTCTTACAGGGGTACAGACATATGCTACTGACGCCTTCATGTATGAGCACATCCCGCACCAAGTGCGGCCATCTACTGCTATTTCCAAACAATCGTGGTGCGCTGAGGTGCGAGTGATATATAATGACGCGGCGCTGGAGCTGCTCTCGTTGCTATTATGTTGCCCGGGGTTGTGCTCCGGTTTCCTGGGATGAGATGGGTTAGGGGTAAAGTCTCGTATCCATTGTTGTCGCCGCTCCCTTCTCGCCGCGGTAAGACACGTGATACGGCCACCTCTCTAGAAGCGCAATTACACCCGCGCCTCCTTCTCCGCTATAAGCCCCCCCCCTTAAGCGGGCGCGTCCATCTCCTTTTCCCACTTACAGCACCTCTCACGGGGCTGTTATATAGATAGCCTTTAGAACCATCACCACCTACTGCATGATGTTTCGTAGGTGGGGCAGGTTCCCTCGTGAGAAGATTACTTTATGCAGTTTCCCTCTTTATGTACAGTATTTGATACGTTTAACAAGTAATTAGGAAAACTTATAGCGAGTAGCGTTAGCGGACATAAGGATGGAGGGGCGATATATATGCTTTTTTCTCTTGTTCTAATTTTTGGTGAGGTCTGTTGAGATTATTTGGGAGAGAAAGAGTACTTTAGGTTTTTCATCCAACACGCCATTAGTAGCATCTTTCGCAGAGGCCTGCCTCGTGGTTGTTTCCAGAGCATTGCCTGGAGCTTCTCTGGGATCCTCTACCTTTTCTCTTTCGGGTCCCCAAATCCAGGACCAGGATCCCTTCTCTTTGACGGTTCTGACGGGGACAGACCTCTCGGCCAAAATTTTCTCTTCCGCAACCCTTTTATCTTGACTAATTTTTCTCCCGGGAAATTCCCCCTTTCCGCCCTTCAACCTCCAATTCTCCTCCTCGAGCCTTAGTACCTTATCTTCGCCCTCTCTCGTCCGCTCCTCGAGCCTCTCCAACCTGTCCTCGTCTATTAGGTTCCTCTCCTCAAGCTCCTCCAGCCGATCGGTGACCATATCCCTCCGACTCGCCTCCTTCCTCCTGGACCGAATCTGCTCGAACAGGATCAAACCCCCAGCAACGCTAAATAAGAAAAACTCGCTGATGAAATTTGCCCCGTTCTCAATCGCCTTGTTCTCACTGAGCGGTCTAATCCTGGGCGGTTTCTTGGATACTTCTTTCCCCGCCCTGGCAGCAGCAGCCTCACCGCTCGTGAAATGATGCAGGACCGAGCGCGGGGGCAGCGGGAGGTTTGAGGATGCAGCCGATGTAGCGGCGGGGTGTTTTGCCTCTCGCTCCTTTAGTCGCTTGGCGGCTTCTTTCTTGTACCATTCGCGTTCCGCCTGGTCGGCCTTCTCGATGGCGGCCGAGTCCCGAAGGATGCCGAGGCGGAGGCGCATGTCAATGCGATGGATTTGCTGCGCTATATTTATGCACAGACGTCGGAAGCGGGGGTGGTCGCGAGCTTGGGCTCTTATCCGACTCTGAGAGATATTGTGTTAATTTCTCTCTTGCCTCCTATGGCGAGGATGAAAGGGGCGAGGTGATGAGAGATGGATGGATAAGGGTTACCCACTGCTATAGGCTTCGCTAGCGTACGGATTGCAAGGGAGCCCAGTTTTAGCCCCGTTGTCGACATGACTGATGGTGTGATTCAAGGTGGGGGGAGAGGGGGGTTCGTCAGGATCTGAGTCTTAGGTCTTATCACTGTGTCTAGCTTCACGAGTTCATCGTTGAATCCTGGAAGCGGGGAAAGGGCTTCGTGGGGATTTGAGGTTACAAGAAAAACATTGGACGAAAAGGAAGCTCTCGATTCGTTTCGGGTTTGGGCAGCCGGCGAGCTGGAGCCTAGGGTGAAGCGGGCCGACGTGGAGAAGGGAGGGGAAGTTGAGATAAGATAGATTGATCAGATAAGATATTGAGGCTCTATGTTGCAGTGGTGCCTAAAGAAAGGTATAATCATAAATCTTGGCTTCTGCAGCCCGGGACGGGAGGTTGGGTTTAGTTTTAAATTTCATGTGTTTTAGAGTACCGGTAGTTGGCTTCAAGTTGAACCTTTGCCACAGGAATATCCCGCTGATGCTACCGGCACGATATCATACTTCCCCCCCTTAAGATTCAGTTCGCACTACCGGTATGGGAGGTAGTGCAAGGTTACCCGGGGACGAAAGACGGGAGCCCAGCGGAACGAGAAGATCCCAGACCCACATCGGTAAACTAAGTCAAGTTGCACAATGGAGCCTCCGATCATACAGTCCTCGAGTACCGTACTCGTACAAAGCCCATTAAAAGTTAGTCATCGGGACGGACCCCCAGGTAAAAACAAAACAATACGGGTTGTTACCCTAACAAGAAATTGCCATATGAATCCTTCTCACCCCTTGGGGAGCTCCCCGCCCTCCACCCGTTCGTACTCTTACTCTTACGGACCCTCGGGCTCCGATTTGAGTTTTCGAAACGGGGTATTCTTTCTGGCAGTGGGGGCTTTTTTTCCTGGAGTTGATTGGGTAGGGTGTCGTGTTTATTTCCGTATCGACGGTTCGGCTGCTCGTCGGTCCCCGCAGGGTCGTGGTTGGAAGGCTGGGGGCACGCGGTTGGAGGGGCCTGCCAATTTAATAGACGGTTGTACCGGTATTATAATTGACATAATATTATGTGTACAAGTAATAGTGTTACTGTACGAGCGCGGCCGATAGATATATCTGTCACGTGAAATCTGCGAAGCAAAAGTGGCACATTGCAACCATGATGAATGCTCGGACATCGCTGTAATAATGTAGAACGCCCTGCGAGCCTTATTCCCCTCATCGAATGTTTCAGAACAACCCTAATCACATACCGGTATCGGGGATCGGGGACTTGGCGCGCTTGCCGGGGAGTATGGGCAAAGGGCACGACCCTACTAAGCCACAATAGACTTATTGTAGCTGAATAGATTCATACAAAAGCTATACCGCGTCTGGGAAATACTATTCCTTCTCAAGGTATTTTGTCTCGAAACAAGGAGATTAGAGGCCGATCGGAGATAGTGGATGTACTCGAGTACGAGTACCGAGTTTTTACGGGTACTCTCATTTCGCTACGGGTATCTAAGACAAGTGGTCCAAGTTTACCCCCCTGTCATGGTATATCATGGTAGTTTAAACAGAGACCCCTGTTTTTCATGGTACAAGTATCCCTTAACCTGGTGAGACATTCAGTCCAGATTGAAATGTCTAGCACTAACTTATTTGGGTAATCGTGATAGGAAAAACCGCCCGGTCCAAAAGTTGTGTAGTGCTCAGAACTCTGTAAAATCTGTACTGTTCAGTATGGCCATGATGGAAGCAAGAAATTCAGCGTAGATTTACTCCGGTTCCCCAAATAGGTTAGTGCTAGACATTTCAATCTGGACTGAATGTCTCACCAGGTTAAGGGATAATAAACGATCGCTCCACCGAGGCGGAGGTCTGCACTAGCGCCCTTGGACTAAGAATTAAGACTTTCTTGGCATCGGATGGATCATTGACCGTTCCTACTGAATCCTGGTATCATAGGACCCTTCTAATATTTTTTCTCCCCCGTGTGCGGTGGGGCACGGTAGGCAATTATCAGCTCTACCTTCTGCTTTCCTTCCCCTTGCAGGTATATTTTCCGGTAGTGGGGCGATAGGCCTGGGGGGTTTACCGTATGTACAAGGAAAGGAAACAAAGGGAACAAAACAAAACAAAAAACTCTGAGACTAGGGGTTGTTTTTTTTCCGAACAAATCAGTACTTGATCATCCCTCATTAGAGCAGTACTGTACCGGTATTTACCCTACCGGTATTTTGTGAGATCTTTGGTATTATACGGTACAGGATATACTCGTAAAATAAATTTAGCCTTTCCTCTTGGATAGAAGGGCGGGGGGGGGGGGCGGGGGGGGGGGGGGGAGAGCAGGATGAGATACCTAACCCCGGGGGAATTACTCGTTACAATGGGTAAGCTGCCTTGCCATAGATACCGTAGCCCTCCCTGAATTTGACTATGATACACGTGTACGGTACTCGAGTACCCCGTGCCTTATCGGACTGGTACTCGAGTATCATACGTGCAGTAGTGGGGATTGTGGTGTGCATTTTTCTCTGTGTAAGGGGGGTGATGCTCTGAGCCAACCGATATCTCTAAGGGGGCTTGTTGTCATCGGGTATCTTCGGGATTTAATGCAGTACCACCGGTATCGTGCCGTCCCTCTTTTTCCCTCGTGGGTTGGAGAAAATTGGGAATATCGGTGGAAATTTTCCCTACTCACGGCCATATCGAGAACAGTATGATAGGAGAAGTGGACCCCTGACGGGGTTGTCCTTCCTTTCGGTCTTGGAGGCCTATCGAAAGGCAGGGTTGGGGGAAGACCCAGCCCGCTTCGGACTATGGTGCAATGCAGCTAAAACATGTATCATACCTGGCTCCATGCAACACGTAACGCTTAACCCTCTAAGAAGGTTGCCCTATAAAATAAAAAAATATTAAAACCCCAACAGCCCTCTGTTCAGTTCACCAGATGGTATTAATACCATAACACTATAAGTATACTTTATATGTCTCTTGATGCATTTATTAATTACCTACTGAGTTCTCCCACATTAAGCACAGCTGCAGAGGTTCAATTGAGTAACTGGTATAGTATCCGCTAGAGAAGCATCTGCTGGCTCCATACTCTGACAGGATTGGTTGCTGGTTGCCTGTTCTGGATGTTATAATTGGAGGCAGAGGATAAGATATTCCGCATTGAAACCAGATAGATAAAATGTAAAAAACCAGATTCACATAGGACAGAAGTGGACCACAAAGCTCTCTATCTGGTTGTTTTACATTCAAGGTTACATATGGGTGTTGATATGCGAAAATGGGCTGGACACCTTAAACCTGGTTTTGTGTAATTACAGTTTCAGGTTTGCATGACAACCACAGAAAAATTGTAAAACAGAAAAATATTTCATACTCTCACATGTAACCAGTATTACAAAATTCTTTATAGCAGTCAATTCTACTACTAAAACAATGCTCTTAAATATTTTTCTGATAGCTGAAAACTCAGGCTACCTATGTATGCAAAAAAGAGAAAAGTGTAAAATCTGAAAAAATCTAATTGTGAGTCTATAGATGTACAAATTTCTTTGATAAATATTTTTTAAGACTACTAGAGGGTACTCTACATGCTCAAGAAGTTTCATATGAAGCGAAGTATATTTGTTGCGTTGAGAGATTGGTACATTTTTTGCATAACAACACCCATATATTAATATTTTAATAATATAAGTTATCTGTGAATTAAGTATAGGGCTGTGGGAAATATTGTATTTGTTTAGCTTATAGGGCAACCTTCTTAGAGGGTTAAGCATTACGTGTTGCACTGGCATGGAGCCAGGTGCATGTTTTAGCTGCATTGCACCATATTAATCCCGGGTGTGCCTCTTGGCTGCCCGGTGACCTCGCGCCAACCGTTCTTGATGTTTTGTGTGTCCCTGACATCATAGCTATCCTCCTGGGGTGGAAGAAAGATTTTTTTTTTTTTAAACCAAGGTTCGATGACCTGGGGCGGCCTTACATGTACTCGGGTAAGGATCGGGGAATGCGGAGGGGTGAGTTACTTTCTTTCTTTCTGTGAGGGCATCTCGGCGTCAGCGGCTTGATGGGGTACGGTACCGGTATTGTGAGAGGAATCTGTCCGGTTGAGGGTCGAACCAGAATGTGCGGTGTACTGAATACCATTTTGTACTACGCAGAACGCATCATGCAGAGTGTGGCAACTTCCGCTGCACACTCGTTTGTTATGGGTAAGTGGCTATTCTCCCCGCTCCCCCAATAAAAAAGATGTTGGTATAACATTTCATGGATTGGCGAGGAATCGTTGATGAGCTGCGTTAGTGATTCGTAAGGAAGAGAACCTGCATGAGTTGCAGGGGGTACTTAGTGATGCTGAATTGCTGATCTTTTCTCCAATTTCGGCCAAATGGGACTTCAGTGCAATGATGGGGTTACTTTTGTTGAGCAACAGGGAGTGTGATGGCAGTGGATGGCTGACCGCAGCAGGAAACGAAGACGAGACCTGTTCGGTGGAGGGAGGAGATGAGTGTGGAGTTGTAAAGGACTCTATTGGTTCTAGCTAAGAGTGAACATGCTTAAAAGGAAAAAATAAAACATCTCATCCTAGCCCTAATTCCACAACCCATTTGATGTTATAGACCACATCAGTCTAACAACGAAAACACAAAGCTCAGGACCAAACTTATGCTCATGTCACATAAGTTGGTTCATCACAATAAACTTGTGAGAGCGTACTTGACTATTTACAACAACTTTGTAGTACTCGATTTTTACTTCTAGCTCCGGGTACAATTCTGGGTGAGCAATTAATTTACTTTATCACGCATAATCATTTCTGCCTTGTACGGGTGCGTCTTCCGGAGTACTTGCTCCCGGTAGAAAGTTAGCGGGAGTGGGGGGGGAAGGGTAGGGGAAGTGGGAGGAGGCTGATGAGAGATTGAGTGAAATCTGGACACGGGAAAGGTGGAAATTGCGGAGGAATGAATAGGAAATGAAGGTATGGAAGGAGCGCTGGGAGAAAGAAGGGAGAGGGGATACATATTTTAGAGTGGGAAGTGGAATAATTGGGGATGCAAAGGGGAGTGATGGGAGAATAGGTTCTTGGTATGAATGGGGATCGCACCATGATAGGATGAGAGATGAAGGACATATTGGAGGAAGGGGTTCAAGTTAGTATGTAAAGTGTGCGGTGCTCTGGTTCAATACTTCTGGCACTGGTATTGAGACTTTGGTGGTGAAGAGGACCGATACAGT